GACTGGATCAGCTTTCCAGCTCTCTTACAGAAATTAAAAACCAACCTCCCTTATACAAAACCACATGGATAGTTAATGCTCTTAATGGTGGGCACATAACAGTGGTATTGATATTAAACAACAATTTGCTTAATGCTGTAGAATTGTGACGTTTATATCCACTTCTGCAGAATTAAAATGCACTTCATATAATCTAAGCAAGTTGAATACATGAATGTTCAGAAATGTTTAAAAATGTGAGTATATTGACCACTAAAATATTCATTTTGTATAAGAGGTAGGAGATGACACAATTATTATAGTGCCTGAGGAAATTTCTAGTGTTCCATCTATGAGTAGATGAGAAACACTGTAGAATTAATGCAAATTGACACTTTAACTGCCTTGGCTCAATGGGATCATGGGAGTTATAGTTTTGTGAAGTACCAGCACTCTTTGACAAATAGGTAGATGACACAGTTATCATGTTGCCTGATGAAATATCCAGTGTTCCATCTAAAGGTGCATCTACACTGTAGAATTAATGCAAATTGACAACACTTTTAGCTGCCTTGGCTCAACACTATGGAAACATGGGAGTTGTAGTTTTGTGAGGTACCAGCACTCTTTGGCAAAGCAGGCCAAAGAATCTCTCTGCCTTATGGCCTCATCAGATGGCCGGCTTCACCCCGCATCACTCGGATCCAAGTTAGGGCGATCACATGGGAAGAAGTGTGAGCCCACATGGTGCATGCAGCTTCCCCCCCCCCCTCATAGATTGTATGGCAACATGGGAACTCTCCCATGTTGCCTTGCCAGCAGCATGTGCTGGCTCTGCCCTCTTTCACCCACAAAACCTGGCACAGCATCATGTGAYGAGAGTTGGCCAGCTCCATGGGTGACCTGGGCTAAAATTGGCCCAAGCCGCCAATTTTAGCCCTTTGATGAGGTGACGAGACTGTAGATTTGGTCCTAGGACTGTATTTACACTAATATTCTACTTTTATCTGTAACTGTGCTTCCTGTTGTTCTGTGCCTTCAAGTCATTTCCATATTCAAAGGGTTGCTCTTGACTTCTCTGAGGCTGAGAGAATGTGATTTGACAAGGCCAGTCAGTAGCCCATTGGGGATCTGAAGATCTGAACCAATTTCACACAGCAGCACTCCAACATTTGCCCAATGTATTTCCTAACTACTGGATGCTTACTAAACCCACCAAAATAGTAACTGCTTACACTCCATCCTTCGGTCAAAACAACCCTGGACAGTGTTTCAAGAAAAATCACCTTAATTCATTAAATGTGGATTCTCCTTTTTTTGCAAATATACAACTAAAAATGGTATAAAAGTTTAAACATTAACTATGTTTAAAACCTCCATAATTTTAACATTGTATAAAATTATGTTAGAAGACAATGCAATAAATAAACAGCATGTGTGTGTACTTTCAGGTTGCCTGCAATCTCGGGCATTTCAGAGTTTATGTGGGAAAGATAATAATAATAATAATAATAAACTTTATTTATACCCTGCCACCATCTCCCCAAGGGGACTCGGGGCGGCTTACATAAGCCACACCCATCAATACAGTGACACAATATAACACAAGAAACAATACAGAAAATCAAAAAAATAAAATAACATAAAATACCAAACCAATATAAATAAACAACACAGCAATGTAAAACAAAACATTAAACACTAAAATGATCACAATGGGCCAGGGCCAGATTCAAGATTAAAAATTTAAAATACTGGGAGATAAGGCAGTGTTATATATCAGGAAGGGGATCCGGGGTATAAGGTAGGATTCAATTGCACAAACCAGGAAATAAAGTGCTTCTGAGGGCATTTTTGAGCAGAGTTTGGTCAGGGGTTGTCATACAATCAAACATTGAAGGCACATTGGAACAACCAAGTTTTCAGGCTCCTCCTGAAGATTGCCAGGGTGGGGGCTTGCCTAAGTATCTCTGGGGAGCGAATTCCAGACCAGAGGGCCACCACAGAGAAGGCCCTCTCTCTCGTCTCCGCAAATCGTGCTTGCGAAGAATGCAGGAGCAAGAGAAGGGCCTCTCTGGAAGACTGAAGAGGTTGCGTGGGTTCGTAGATGGAAACGCGGTTGCGCAAGTATGCGGGTCCCAAACCATTCAGGGCTTTGTAAGTCAGAACCTGCACCTTGAATTGGGACTGGAAAATAAATGGCAGCCAGTGGTGCTCCTTAAACGGGGGGGGGGGCGTTTGACCACTCCCTGTAACTCGCACCAGTTAGTAGTCTGGCTGCCGCTCGCTGGACCAGTTGAAATTTCCGGGCCGTCTTCAAGGGCAGACCCATGTAGAGCGCATTGCAATAGTCCAATCTAGAGGTAATTAAGGCGGGGACCACTGTGACCAAATCCAACTTCACGAGGTACGGTAGCAGCTGGCGCACGAGCTTCAATTGTGTGAAGGCCCTCCCAGCCACCGCCGATGCCTGAGCTTCAAGCGTTAGCGCTGATTCTAGGACACCCAAGCTGCAGACCTGTGACTTCAGGGGGAGTGCAACCCCATCAAACACAGGTTGCCACCTTGTACCTCAATTCAGCCTACGATTGACCTGGAGGACCTCTGTCTTGTCAGGATTGATCCTCAGCTTATTTGTCCTCATCCAGACCGTCACAGTGGTCAGGCACTCATCCAGGGGCTTTCTTGGAATTAGGTGGAAAGAAGTAGTAGGGTTGGGCGTTATCTGCATAGAGATGTCACCTAACTCCAAAACTCCAGATGACCTCTCCCAGTGGTTTCATGTAGATGTTAAAAAGCATGGGGGACAGAATGGAACTTTGTGGGACCCCACAGGTCAAAGGCCAGGGGTCCGAGCAGGTGTCCCCCAGCTTCACCAACTGGGAGCAACCCTCCAAGAAGGACCGGAGCCACAGCAAAGCCATGCCCCCAAGACCCATCCCAGAGAGCCGTCCCAGAAGGATACCATGATCGATAGTATTGAAAGCCACTGAGATGTCCAGGACAACCAGCAGGGTCACACTTCCCCTGTCCAGTTTTCTGCAGAAGTCATCCACCAAGGCGATCAAAACCAGGCCTAAACCCAGACTGTGACTGATCTAGAAAATCAGCGTCCTCAAGGAATCCCTGGAGCTGAGAGGCAACCACCCGCTCCAGCACCTTGTCCAAAAAGGGAAGGTTAGAGATTGGCCTGTAGTTATTCAAAACCGTGGGGTCAAGTTAGGTCTTCTTCAGGATTAGTCTCACCATTTCCGCTGGGCCAATGACGTGTTGACACAAACCAATCTAATAACCCACCTCTGGCCAATGTGATTAGCCAGGAAGGACAAGGGTCCAGAGCCGATGTGGTTGCTCTCACAGCCCCCAGGACCCCATCCACGTCATCAGGATGAACAGGCCAGAAAGAAGCGCACAGGATCGGATTGACAGATGCCTCAGTTATCTCTTCTGACATTGCATTCAAACTGGAGTCCAGTTCGAGGCGAATCTGAGCGCCTTTATCTGCAAAATGGTGCGTGAACTCACAGCATAGAGGTGCTGAGTCCTCGAGGAGCTCCCCTACCTCGGGAGGGTGGAGAAGCTCTCCAACAACCTGAAACAACTCAGAGGGTCTATTAGATGCAAACGCTATGCGGGCAGTCGAGGTCTTCTTGGCTGCCCGCAAAGCCGTGGTAGAAGTCCTAATTGAGGTTCTAGCCCACGCTTGGTCGGAGACACCCCGAGACTTCCTCCAGATGCACCCTAGACTCCTTCTTGTGCACTGCATCTCAGCCAACTCCTCAGAAAACCAAGGAGTAGGCCTAACTCTGCACAATGAGAAGGGATGTTTGGGGGCGATCGTGTCAATTGCCCTAGCCATCTCGCTATTATAGCGATCGACCAGGGCGTCAACAGGATCATCAGTCTCCATGACAGGAAGAACCCCAAGAGTACTCAGGAATCTGTCTGGATCCATCAGTCTCCTGGAGTGGAGCATCTTAGTAGGTCCACCACCCCTGTGGAGGTTAGAGGTCGCAGTGAGCCTAAAACTGATCAGATGATGGTCAGACCATGACAATGGAATAATGTTTTGCTCTTCCACCCTGACCACTCCACTGTCCGCAGTAAAAACTAGGTCACATGTATGTCCAGCTTGATGGGTGGGTCCAGATACTACTTGTGATAGCCCCATGGTTGTCATAGCAACTAGTTTAACTAGTTTTATCGTTGCCTTCTTCTGAAATATAGCTTACAGCACTTTGTACTGTTCTATGTAAATACTAACTAGACTCGATCCTGCTTAGCTTCCAAGATCTGATAGGATTGGTGTCTTCAGGGTATCTAGGCCTGGTGTGCAGCCAACATACCATGTTAAAAAATTGCTGCAGAGTCAGCTAATTGTCAAATGTCTATTAAAAAGAAAAGGTCTGCCAACAAAAGAACAGCTTTCTGTAGAGAAGGAATTTCAGCATCTGGGAGCAGCCATGAAGAAAGGTGTCCTTATCAAGTGTCCTTATCAGACAAGCCTGTGACAATAGTGGGACTGTGGGGGAAAAAATCCTTTCCCTTAAGATATCGAGACTTAGGCAAGCTCATGGAGACAGATTAATTTTTCCAGCTGGATAACTCCATGCTGGCTATATGCTGTATACCATTATTAGTAGAGACTAAAGTGTCTTGCATGCAGAGGCTATGAGATGCTGGAGTTGCTGAAATAGCTCGCTGAATCTTGTGATCACGTCAGCTAGTTTTTTCTATGCAGCCTGTTACTGAAAACAGCACAAGATGGTTCAGCCTACCCTTCATCGCATAAGCTAATTATATGTGCATCTTAATAAGCCTTTGCACACAGAAACATTTCTTATTGCTGAAAGAATCTGAACTCCACAAAGCTTCGTTCAAGTTCCCAAAACAGCAGGCATTGTTTAATGACTGTAATAACAACTTTTGAGTGTAAAACATGAATCTTACAACTCAATCATCACATTTAATACAAGAGCATTGGAAGCTTCATGTTCCATTTGCATCTGCTTCCATTTTAGATTCATGGCAAAGATCACTTTTGGCATCAGCTTCACACTTGTTCTGTTCTGTTACCAAGTTCTCTCGGTAGAAGTTTGCAGACGGGAACATTTTGTTGCTGCTGTGTATGAACATCATGTCATCCTGAATCCCAACCCAACAGCCGTTACTGATCGACAGTCTGCCTTAGAGCTGATGAACAAAAACCTAGACATTTACGAAGAACAAGTGATTGCTGCTGCTGAACAGGTACTAGCAACACTACCAAGAACATGGTTGTCATAAGAGAAAATGTTTATTATTGGAACTTGAGTCACATGCTTCTATAGGCTGATGCATTGGAGCACTGCATGAAGCACAATATTGTTTACTAGGTGCTGATGGCATAATAAGAGAGCTAGTCAATAAACAAGCATTGCATTATTCTATTTATGTTGCAATAGGGTATGATATTGGATTTTCTTCTGCAACTAATAAAGGATCTTTTAACACCCTAATGTAGGCATGGGCAAACTTGGGCCCTCTGGGTGTTTTGCACTCCAACTCCCACAATTCCTAGGAGCCTCAGGCTGCGGGGGAAAAGGAAAGGGCCTGAGGCTGATAGGAATTGTGGGAGTTAGAGCCCAAAACACATGGAACGCCCAAGTTTGCCCATGCCTGCCCTAATGTTACATCATCCTCAATTCTTTGGGGATTAGGATGCGACAGCTTGAATAGGATGTTTTACTATTTCAGTTTGCTGTATAACAGGGATGGGCCAGAGTCATCTTCTCTCCCAATTTCGGAAGTCTGAATATTTGTTGTTTTCAAACAAATCAAAGAATCCCTGAAGCCTTGATACTAATGGAAAAAGTAAGAAAATTGTCTCTGTTTCTTGTTAGGGGACGCAAATAATCATCTTTCCTGAAGATGGAATCCAGGGTTTCAATTTCACTAGAACATCAATTTATCCTTACTTGGACCTCATCCCATCTCCTGATTCTGTGACATGGAATCCATGTAACGAAGCATACTTATTCAATGACACAGAGGTATTTGAAACAGAATTTTCCAAAGCGGAAAAATGCAACAGGAACACATGCATAACGAGATATACCTTGCTTTCATGCAATCTAAATCTGCTTCCCTTTTAGATTGATAGCAAGATCACTTCGATGATTAATCATACATATATGTACTTTGCTACATTTAAAACAGTGGTGGGAATCATGTGGTCTTCCCAGATGTTGTTGAATCCTATCCCCTAGCATCCTTCACCTTTGGCTATGCTGGTTAGAATTATTGGGGTCTGCAGCCCAACATATGGAAGACCACGTGATTCCAGTTTCTGATCCAGACCTTAAAGTGTTTGAGGTCAATAAGTATGTCATAACCGACACTTCAACAGTTAAGGGCATAGTTTTTCAAAGTCAATGGGGATACAATCAGTATGCAGTATTTTCATAAACATATATTAATTGCTGTATAACATATCTATTTGCTTAACTGTTTGGCTATTATAGAGCTCTGCTGACTTCACTGATATATTATATAAGGGTAATATAAATGCTGGAAACAGTGTCAGATATTTTTCTCAATGTTGGAGAGAAATATTGCTCATTTAGTATATTGAAGAAAAATACGTAAACCATTGAGAAGTAAATTGGAGGGAATTTATTCACTAATGAAACCAAAAACATGACACCCAGGGAAATGTCTGGATCTTTTTCACCTCCCCACTGTAACTTTCTCCAGCTTCTGAGGATATACTTCCCTAAGTTTTCTAACACACCGAAACAAGCTTTCAGGACACTTCACAGGCTGCACTGGGGAAGGGAGACTGCATCCCCCCTTATATTTGATCCCACTTTTGCATGAGCAGAAGTTCAGCTACAGATACAGTTCATAATTATTTCGAATGCCTCAATTTTACCAGTATTTCCCTAAAAGCAATATTTCAAAACATATGGTTTTATTTAAATGTAGTTACAAAGAAATCTTTCTGATTACAGGGAAATTGTTTATGGCAATGTGCTGGCTCTTTATATATGGTGAAGTGCGGGTTTAACCCAGTGCAGTGAAGATAGAATGTTGAAAATGTATTACCAAAAAACCAAATAAACAATTAGAATTGTGCTGTAATCACTTAAGCAAACACTTGTACAATTTTCACAAAGAATCATTTCATGAAAAAGTCACTTTTGAGTACACATCTTACAGTTGTGAATAATCCAGTTGCTTATAAATAAAATAGTCCTTACCTCTATTGGAACAAGATTCTTAAAATATTATTTTTGCAGGTTCTTCATCGACTGAGCTGTATGGCACTGAAGAATCAGCTGTTTTTAGTGGCAAACATAGGAACCAAGCAGTTCTGTGAGCCCAGTGATCCCTCCTGCCCACCAGATGGAAGATACCAGTTTAATACCAATGTAGTATTTAGTGACAATGGTATGCTCATAGCTAGATACCGAAAACAAAACCTGTACTTTGAATATGCCTTCAATACTCCAGCAGAAGTAGATTACACCGTTTTTGATACCCCTTTTGCAGGCAAATTTGGAATCTTCACTTGCTTTGATATCCTGTTTTATGAACCAGCTGTGCCCCTTATTAAGCAATACAATGTGAAACAGGTTGTTTATCCTACTGCATGGATGAACCAGTTACCACTTTTGTCAGCTGTAGAATTTCAACAAGCTTTTGCAACAGCTTTTAATATCAGTCTTCTAGCAGCAAACATCCATCATCCGGACCTGGGCATGACAGGCAGCGGTATATACACACCGTCAAAATCTTTCATTTTTCATGATATGGAAAGTGTTAACGGTAAGCTTATAGTGGCAGAAATCCCTGTTATATTAGAAAATGAAACCCAAATGGAGAACTCGGTAATATCTAACACACAAGAGAGTTTTTCAAGCTTCCCTATGGACACACTCGTTTGCCACAAAGAGGATCAAGAAGACTGCAGTGACATAACAAAAGGAGCATCCAAAGCAGCACTGCACATCTTTTATGGTGAAATGATGTATGATAATTTCACTTTAGCACCCATTCTGGAAGCTGAAGGAAACATCCACGTCTGTTCCAATTCTCTTTGTTGTTATTTGAGTTACCAGAGATTGGATTCATCTAACGAACTGTATGTTTTAGGGGTGTTTGATGACCTACACACAGTACATGGAACATACTATGTACAAGCCTGTGTGTTAGTAAAATGTGGTGGATCTAGCTACACTACTTGTGGACAGGAAGTTACAAAGGCCACTGGAATGATAGATTTTCAGCTTCAAGGAAATTTCACAACTGCTTATGTCTTTCCCCTGTTACTAAAATCTGATGTCACACTAGATTTTGCTGACCATTTGGGCTGGAAAAATAACTATTATGTCATGCAGAAAAAGGGAGGATCTTCTGGCTTGATAACTGCTGGTTTATATGGACGATGGTATGAAAAGGACTCAATCAGAAACACTTTGTACAACAAACACATAAATGGTTATCCCAGGAACTCAATAAAAGGAGACTAATATAGTAATGGATTACTGTGGATCTCTCATTCCAACTGCATGTGAGTGAAAAAAATAGCTTTTGGTTGGTTATGCCATGAAAGTTCCTTATTAGTTGTGGAGGCCTTTGGCATTGCGTGACATTTTGAAAGGGGCTTAGAGAAAATGTGTAACATTCTCCATTGCTATTTATTTCCTCAGCTTCAGGCAAAGACAAATGGAGGGATCGTGCATATTGCATTGGGTTTAGGGCAATACATCCAGGACAATCTCCTGTTCTGACCTGTAGATTAGGAGCTGTTTGTTTGCTGACTCACTCCCCAAACCCTGACTCTTTCCAACAGGTGCTGATCATATGAATGGCTTCCACTTCCTCTTTGTTCAATACCACTCACTTTTTGATGTCCAATCTTGCTCTCATGAGGCTGGGCTAGAAAGCATTGTTAAATCCCCCCCCAATGCCAAGACAGTTTGTTGACCTGCAACAAAGCAGACTGGCAATTGCAGCTTGGTCTTTAGGACTGGTTATCAGAAATATTGTAACACATCTTTCAGTCATTTTTTCATTTTATCCTTTTCTAACAATGTTCTTAAATTATGTACAACTCAAATCAGTTGGGCAAATTTTGGTGTGATCACCAGCCACTACGAGGAAATTCCTCTTTCTTACACTCAAAAACTGACATTTTTTGAGTAAAAAAAATTCAGGTCTTAGACAGAATTAGAACAAAATCAGAAGTTGTAAGAAGTCTGGGAAAATATGGCATTTTGGGAATATGAGATGTCTCAAACTACCACGCATCTCTATGTGAACAAATGTTTGTTTTTGTGAACTTCTTTCCACTCAGATTTCCACCTATAGATGAGAGACATAACAGTAGTAGTTCTTTCAGGAGATACAATAAATAAAGAGGTGCTTAAGGAGATTTTCATACCAGTCCTTTTCAGTGAAATTGCTATATATTGTTCATTTGCTTTTACAGAAAATCTACCTGATCTTGTGCTAATACTGTTGCAGTCAAAGTACATTATGTAACAAAATTAGAAAAAAAATCTGTTCTTTGTTGGAGTGTTATTAACCTGTTTAATTGTGTGGTACTTACTTTGAAAGTTGTTGTTATACTCCAGAAACTTTGTGTTAGTGTTATCTCTGTGTTAGTTGTTTGGTCTTTGAAAAACTTAAATTTTTAGTGATAAAATGCAAATATAGCATAAGGCTATTACCTGTGAGTACAGTAACCACCTATGAGACTTTTCCAGATGGAAAAAATAAGTTAGTCTTGGGAAGGATTTTTGCTGAACATGATCTACTTGACAAATGCAAAGAATATTAATGAATAATATGGTGCTATTTTAATTTTCTGAAACATCTGTGTTCTCAAGCATTTCATCTGTCCAACATCAGTTACATGTTTCAAGTTACAATTATCCATAATCATGCAGTACCTAAAGTATTTCTTTAAGTAGCTGAATTAATTATCTGTGCTTTAAAATCAAGAGGACTTTAAGAAGTTTTGTAGAATAGGATTTATAAATCTGAGGTATTCATAAGAGCAGCCCTTTAAAGAATTAACAATTATTCCACACTTGATACACAGATTGTTCATTAAATACAACTCTCACATTTGGGCTTTATTATACTCTGTAAAATATACACAGGAATCTTGATGTACTGAAAGAGTGCAGGTAAATACAGTATTCAAGCAGTCGCTATTTCTATGTACATGCTCATTAATTCTTCAAAAACCCACAAAATTATCAAATAGATCAAAATACTGTCCTGTGTTTCCATACTATGTTCAGAAAACAAGCTGATAATTTACAATGGTATTAAGGTTTCCAGTTTCACAAATACAAAAAGGATAAAAGAAAGTTGGGGTCAATTTTTGTTTTTATCTCAACATGCAAGATGTTCTTGCATGTACGTAAGCAAGTATTTGAACTGTTACTTTCCAATTAAAGCAGAACCAAATAAAGTGAATTTTCCAACAAATTGTATCTTAGATTTCAGGAAAAAAAACTTTCTTCCTTTTTTTACAGTACCCTTTATAAATAAGACAAACTCAGGGCAAGTTTTAAGTATAACAAAGGGGCATGTATATTTTGATAAACTGTAAATTGAAGAACTTTGTTTCTAAAGATCTGTCTGATACTGCACCTGTTTGATAACAGGGAAATCATTTTAAATCACATACACATCCCAGCCACATCCTGTGCCTTAATATTCAAGAAGGGTTTTTAAAAAAATTATATATACACCATAGAGGCACAGATTCCATTCCATTATAAGATGTAGAGGATCGAGTCGGTTGTAGAAAAATTAAGTTTCCCTAAGGCAGCCTAGCAGGGTATCAGGATATTGCAAATCTGTTTCAATGCAGTTTCATTTGCCAAATAACTACCAATCCCATATTTTGAATAAAAATATATCTTTAAAACAGGATCTTCTTTTTTAATTTTTTCTTTGTAAATGAAAGAATGCTGTGCAATAAACTGCTGCATCGCTCTCTTTCCCTTCCTTTGTTATACTATACACGTATGACCCTGACTACTCTTGGTTAAGCTAGTTAACAGCTTTAGTACTTAAGATTGAGTCATGTTCTTTTTCATTATATTTAAGAGAAAAAAAGAATTGAAAACATGTTTTCATGGTACATTTCATTTAATAGTGTTGGAAGGCTGTTAGATATTAAAAACAAATCAACATGTAAAACCAAATCCAGGATTAATAGCCAGAAGTAATTTTAGGGTTGGTTAAGACTATTACTTATTAAACTATTCAAGTTTTCTCAAAAAAGTATTCTTTAATTTAAAAAAAGTCTAAGTTATTTGGTCCTTTGGCAATTTGCTGCACAAACAATGCCTTCTGTACCAAACTCAATTATTGCCTTCAAAATGGTCTTAGTTTTTTAAAATTTTAATCTATCACCCTCTTTGTTGTCTAACTGCATGTTTGTTTATACAGACAATGGTGCAGTCCTGTTGGGAATATTCATGGCACCCACCACACTGCAATTAAATGACATTCTATGTAATTTTTTGCACCATGGAGTCCAAGCTATTTCTTTGCATAACCTTTTTTTCTGAAAAGTCTTTGGGGAGTCACGCAACCACCTCATGTGCATCCCACCGTTTTTTGGAACCTCTCCTCATGATGTCCTTTATATACTCAACAAGGCTGCTCTCTCCAACAACACGATCTTGAAATTCAACCACCAAATTCACTTTTCAGGCTTCTAATAAAGCTTCTCAATAGGTTTCAGAATCTGAGTCATTGAGTTCATCTTCTTCTGTATATGGATAGCCATCTTCTCTCCCTATGTTGTTGAAACTGCAGTAAGAGCTATGTTCACTCCTGATAATTGGCAAGGAGTCAAAGGTGACCGTTTTTGAGGTGTTGGTGTAATGATTAATGGCATTGAATGTAAGGGAAGGTAATGTACTGCTTGATGAAACAGGCATCATTGTGGCCAAAATGAGAGCTAGGCAATCAGCCACATCCTTATTGGGTGCACAGGCCAAAGCTGGTGTATAACCTAGAGTCAAAATAAAATCAATGTTGTTGAAAGACAGGAACCAAATCTTCATATATTTTGTCAACTGATCAGTAGTAATATACAATAGGGCTAGATTATGCTAAAACCCAACTTCCATATTTCTTAGGCTTGTGACTGTTCCTACATCTTAAAATGTTTGTGTTTTAGCTGTGAGACAGTCACAGACCTGAGCAAAATGGGAACCCTTATTGTTAAACATGCAGGGTCTAACAGCAGGGTTAGATAACATCTGAGAAATATCCTTCTTAGTTGGAATTCACCCAAAATGATCAGTAGCAGCTTCTTCACAGAATCCATAATTATCATCTTAATAGAATCTGCTCAAGTAGCCATGACAAAGACACTTTAAACAAACACATGGAGGACAGATGAGCTACTGTTACTTTAAAAGCTATGTTCAGAAAAAGTGCACCTCTGAATAGTAAGTTTCTTAGACTATCTGACTGGCAAATTTGGAAGCACAATACTCCACAAAGAAAACTGATTGAAACAGACCGTTGTTACAATACTAATGGGAAAAAATCAGCTTATGTCCATTTACTTACCATTCTCATCTACAGCAAGGACGCTTGCTCCTTTCCCTAGAAGTTCCTGAACTACAACTGTCAATCCATTTCGAGCTGCAACATGCAAAGGCCTGGGGAGAAATACAATGTACAAACATTACAACTGACACATTTGTAAATGATATGAGGATCATTGCATAATAATTACTTTTACACGGGTCCGTTTTAGCCGTTTTCCTTCAGCATGTTTGGCTTCTCTGGACGGCCGTAACAGCAAGGGCTCAGCTGACATCTCTTTTTCACCCAAAATGGCCCATGTGGATGCCAGGCGCAGCTTGCTCTCTTCTATTCCAGAGTACACAGCATATACTTCCTTAACCCTGTTCCTCAAACCCAGGCTCCCTTGAAAGGAAGGAAGGAAGGAAGGAAGGAAGGAAGGAAGGAAGGAAGGAAGGAAGGAAGAAAGAAAGAAAGAAAGAAAGAAAGAAAGAAAGAAAGAAAGAAAGAAAGAAAAAGAGCCCAGGAAGGGTGCTTCCTTAACCCTGTTCCTCAAACCCATGCTCCCTTGAAAGGAAGAAAAGGAACCCAGGGAAGTGCTTCCTTATCGCAGTTGCTCAAAGATAGACTCCCTTGAAAGGAAGAAAGAAAAGGAGCACAAGAGGGGTGCTTCCTTAACCCCACAGCTCAAACCCAGACTCCTTTGAAAGGAAGAAAGGAAAGGGTTCCAAGAAGGATGTTTTCTTAACCCCGCTGCTCAACCCAAGGCTCCCTTGAAGGAAAGTAAAGAAGCCTAGAAAGGATGCTTCCTTAGCCCTATTCCTCAAACCCAGGCTCCCTTGAGAGGAAGAAAGGAAAGGATCCCAGGAATGGAAAGGTAGCCTTGCAAGTTCCCCACTGCCGCCAATTGGCCGGATCTTCCCGGATCTTTTGGCTGTCTAGTCGAAAACAGATTTTTCTATTTGCCAATTTTTGGGAAGCTCCTGAAAATGGATCTGGGTGCCCAATGAAATTTGGATACCAAAAACAGATTACTCTCCAGCCTAATAATCATGCATGGTATTGGCGGCAATTTTGTTTTTATGTCATTGTGAAGACACAAATATGTCTAATTCTATATTTAATTTTTTCAGAGAAGAAAATACGTTTTCCAAATGCTGCCAAATAATCCCCCACTTTACAGGGCCTTGTGTCGACTAAATACTTTGTATGTACTTTTTTTAAAAGACATATTGTTATGAATATGTAGAATTAATGAGAAGGTGAAGATAATGCATCTACATTGGGTGAGACAAAGGAGTACTTTAGATCTCAGCCCATGTAGTCTACAATTGTATGTATAAACTGAAGAGGGAAAGAGCCCTAAATAAATAAAAACACACCTTTGAATCCTCTATAGTAGAAAGTTAATTCTGAATAAATTTTCCCAAATGCTCCCACAAAGCACATAAACTCTCACAGAAAATATATAAAAGCTTGACACATCTTCCTTTCTTGAGAAAATACACACAAGAACAGTAATCCTTGCTTTCTTTTCTTCCTCATGATAACAGCATCACTACTGCAATCTTCTTCATAACCCATTATCATTTCAAAATCCCAGCTGTCTCACAAAGATGCATGTGTACCAAGCAGTAGTGTTTGTAAGGAGCTATTTATTGTATTTATTTAGGACCCAATGGCATTTTGAGTAAATAAAATGGCAACTGGCTTTTTAGTGCCACATCTGTAAGATTTTAAAAACATCATCATCATCATCATATTTATTTATACCCTGGAGGAGACTCAAAGTGTCTTAATATAAAAGCATTGCCATAAAATTTAAAATATGCAAACATTAAAATAGAATTAAATATAAACAGTATTAAAAATTCACAGTTAAAAACATTAAAATATAGTCACGCTAAAACAATGGACAGCAGGACAAAGGGACAACCCAGTGCCTACAGGCACAACAATGGTAACTGTAACACTATACCAGAGTTATATGAAAACTCTCAACTTACGTCTGCAATGCTGCATTGGTGGCATTGATGAGATTGCGATCTGTTATCTTCTCCAGTATTAACAAGGCACTAGTTTCATGACCCTGAGGAGAAAACAAAAGAAAACTGGATGTAATTACTTTGAACTTCCATTTCAACAAATCTACATATTATTTCAAAATACAGCAAGTTTTGAACATATCCATAAATAAATTCATTTAAATCATATTTAGAAGTTAGACAATAAATAGTTGTAAACTCCAGATGAAGTTTTAATTAGAATTGAGAATTAGTGACAAGTACCGGGTAGTTTATTACTCTGTGGACAGAGCTGGCTCCAAGAATCTGGATATTATAGATAAAGATAAAATCAAAGAAACACATAGGGCCCTGTAGATGTTTACTTTCTCTCTTAATTCAGTGAATATGTTTCTTATTCATATCAATTAATATCGTGCCTTTCTCTAGCATGTAATGTGTACCAATTGCTGTCTGTTCTGTTTTATAGTGGTCACTCTCTCTTCGCTTTTATCTACATTCCTGTAGGTTCAGCGTCTAAGACAAATTTTCAAATAAATGGTTCTGGAGCAGAATTTCAATACTGCTGTCCTTAAGCCTTGGTTTTAAATCACTACAGTTAAAAATCAGTTGTCTCAGAAAGTGGTTTGAAAATAAATGGTAAGGAGTTCTCCGCTCTTCTAAACTTCGGAGTTTAAGTGTTACAATGCCACTCCAGCATTTTAACAAGCATGGAAAAGGTGTGTCCCAAGGGCAGCCCTGAAATGCTATTTTCTGCAGGAGGATAACTGGGGGAAGGAATAGCCAATGGCACCACCCCAGTCATTTCCGTGAGTGAGGGGAATGGCCCAAATTGTGCTTTCAGGGTGCACTGCTGATCATTTTGTGGGGAAGGAAGGCAGGGGGAAAGGTGTCTGGAAGAGCTGAAGGGCAGGAACTGTCCTCTATGAAATCAGCAATGTTGCATGACTATAAAAATGATTAATACCAAAAGCTTGAGAAGCAATAAATCTCAGAAGCCTGAAATGATAATTACCTTACTGCAAGCCAAATGCAATGCAGTGTTTTTGCACTTATCTTGCAAGGTCAGATCAGCTTTAGCACTGCTAACCAACACCTCTGAAAGAAATAAAATATTACCATTATGTAAAATGAGATCCAACTGTGAACATCCACTTTAGTTACATTATATACATTTTTTTCAAATAATCTAGAGATAAATACCATGTCAGCAAAAACGATACAGGAACGAATCAATCTCTTTTTTTAAATTCCTCATCACATTACACTCTTTATCTTTCAAGTCAATGGACAAATAAAAATGGTTCCTGCCTCAGCTGAACTTCTTTAACAGCTAATAGATTGAATATGACTCGATGATGATTCTTTTTATACAATTATGTTAATCAGAGTGAATAATTAATGTTGCTTTGAATCCAATTTGATGGTTGATACAGAAAATATCTGAAATAAATCTTTATGATTCTATTTGTACAATCTCCATTATGATTCTAATGCAACTTTTTAAAAAGTGACAGGCTTAAAGATTAATAGTTATGAAATTAGGATATATACGGTTTTGTTTTTACCAACTGTATTTGTCTGTCCATTTTCTGCAGCCATCATTAGGGGGGTCTTTCCAGAAGAGTCTACAGCATTTACTTGTGCGTTATGGCTGAGCAAAAGTTGTAAGCACTCTACATGGTCTGTAAAGGCGGCTGCGTGAAGAGGTGTTCTAGAAGGAAGGGAAAAGCAGACGAAACAAATTGGAAAAAACCAAAAACACAGAGCATAACAAGCATATGAAACAAAATGTGGCAGCGTGGAACATTTCACTTCATGGACACTTCACTTTTGCTTCTTTACCTCATAAATTTGTACCTGATTGGAATAAAGTTCAGATAACATATAAGGCATATTATAAGAGATCCCCAGTTACTGGTTACTAAACACAAATTTGATAGGATTTATCAAATCCTAGCAGCTATCTTTAGCTATCTTGTTTCAATAGCTAAAGTCTTGTTACTATGGTTGCTGTTCTTCTACATCAGAACAAAAGATCACATAGGATTCTTGGTATATCTTTACTGTAATTCATACTGACAGGCAATTATAAAATGTTTTGATTTTATATTAAAGATAGTCAATACAGCAAAATGAAAATTAAGAATGTGCATCATTCACACATTACTTTTAATCTTACCTTGCTTTCGCATCTGTTGAATTGACAATGGCAGAACCCAGTGTATCAATTAGCATTTCTGCAGCACCCTCATTATCATTTATCCTATCAAAAATTCAAAAGGCATTTAGTTCCAAAACAGCCAAACTTTATTATAAGCTGTAATTAAATCTAATGAGAGTTTTACAGATATTACTTACACAGCACAATGCAAAGGGCTGAAAGAATTTCCTTCCATCTTCTGGAAAGCTTCCTGCTCCAAAAGTAGTTCCACACAACTGTCATGACCTAAAGAAGTTTTGAATGTCAGACTAAAAGTAATATAACTTTTTTTACTTTATATTTTGATTACAAGGCCATATCACCATAGTCTGTCTTATTATCTTCTGTAACTTACTGAAAAACCAATGTATATTGTGATACCTTCCTAATAATCAGAGAACATGTTTTGCAGACTCATTTATGGAGTGCACGATAATGTCACAGCTGTTGCAATCATCATGGGGTGAAACCAAGACGATGTAAGGGGAGAAGGTTAATGGGACTGACCCTATGTTAATTTAAATACTGAATGTAGTGCATTGTTCCATGTTTGTTAATTGTATCTGGACTCCAGTATCTATTTACCTCTTCCTGTGGAAGAGATTGCTATCACAGACCAACTGCTTGGCAACGAATGGTTTTCTACAGATCCATCCTTGTGTGTCACTATTAAGTGATCACATGTTACAGTGATCAGCTGTAAACTTTCTAACTTCGTTTGTAAGTTCTAATCACCACAGTAGAGTCAGCATACAAGGAACTGCCTCTGTCAAGAATCCAGATGTTAATATTTTGTAGAAAGAACAATACATACAGAGAGTTCCTCCGGTCTCATAATGGGGCAAGATATCCAGTTTCATTATCTTGGATAACCTATGTGTTTCTTTAGCAATTAACAATATTAGCAAAGCAACTGACCTAGGAATTGCAAAGGTGAGATTCTAAATCACCCTATCCCTACAGGCATCACTCAAAAACTACTGCTTTACTCACCATTGTAACAGGCCCAGTGCAATGACGTGTACCCGTGATTGTCTGCCAGGGCAGGTACTGCATCCCCAGATGCCATGGACTGCAAGAGTGCTCCTAGTACCCCAATATGGCCACATGCAGCTGATAAGTGTATAGGTGTCCGTCCTCTGCAATCTCGTAGTATGGACTTTGCACTATGTTGAAGCAATGCTTCTACACACTCCTCATGACCAGTAACTGCCTGGAAAATGCAACATATGGAGCATAAAATGTACAGGGGTGATATGCATACATCGTGATGAAATCAAAATGCCAATGTCTTCAATTAAGTACGTTATCCTTCAAATACCACACCAGTCTGGCTCATTTGTTTACAGTAAATCTGAGGCTTAAGACCTTATCACATGAAGGCCGAGAAGTGTCTTCTCCCTGCTTCTCTGTGCTGCTGGCCCACGGCCAGCACAGAATATCCCCAAGCTTATCATATGATGCAGGGCTATTTCCGGTGGGACTCAGTGCCGGCAGCACAGAGAAGCAGAGCCCAAAGAAGTTGAGTGTACACCTGACTCATATCCAAGAGGCAAATAAGCCAAAGAGGAAATGGGAATAGACGGGGAAATGTAGTGGGAAGGGAAACTACGGGCACCAATGGGAGGTAACATAGCCTGATGGCTCCCTCTGGCGCCCCATGATTTTCCCCACGGAACTGCTGCCCATGGTCCTGACTATCCATTTAATATAAGAGCTAATAAGATCCAATTGTATAAAGAGTATGGGGTCTGGATCTCCCACAGCAGCAATATCCCTCTTCTCCCAACTATAGAAAATTTGCCCAGTTCATGATGAATGACAGCAAGGAAAGCCTGGAAGCAGATATGCAAGAGGAGATCTCTACTTTTGACATATTAAATATGGTTAAAAGCTGAAAGTGTGAAGTCGGATCACTGGGGAAAGGTAAGGGGATATTCCAGGAATGCAAAGATAAATATGAAGGAAGTAAAGTTATAATATTATTTATTTATAATAAATATAATAAATATTATTTATAATAATATTATTATATTATAAATAAATAAGTAAATAAATAAAGTTCACAAAAATAAGCAGGGAAATATAAAAAATAGCTAGGAACAGAGGTAGGGGGTTTGTTTAGATGTATGATGGCGGATAGAAAAAGAACCACTACTGTGTATAGTATATGTCCTCTATACCATCTAAAAATCCAATGATTTTTGTATCATAGTGTTAAAAATATATGGAAAGCTCTAAAACACAGGATACAAATCACTGAAATAAATACAAACATATAGTGAACTTTGTTAGCTGTTTAAACTCATAGCTGATTTGTCCTACCGATTTCAGCAGAAGTTAATTTCAACTAATATTTAGCCTATGTTTCTATAGTATTATTTGGAGCTTCAATGCTACCTATTGAAGCAAAAAGTAAAGAGTTGGAAGACACATATTTATTTCTCTTACCCCTCTATGTAATGCTGTTCGTCCCCATTTATCTTTGGCATCTACATTTGCTCCTTTGTTAAGCAGTGAATATACACAATCTGTGTGCCCATTGAGAACAGACAACATCAAAGGGGTCCTAGAAGACATGGAGATTAAATCAGAACACATACCATATACCTAGAAGAGATAGAGAATAAACCAGAATACATAAATAATCACACAATCCTATCCACATGGCAGGTTAGGCTGCTGTGAACAGCAAGGTGGCTTTGTCAAAACACCCCAAAGTTTGACTGAACCTATCTCTAAAAGATAGAAGTGACTTTGAAGTGAAGAAAGCTGAATAAAAAGCAATAAAAATAAGTCCACCATATAATTATAGCATACTATAGACTGTGTGACATGATATGATTTGGATTATTTTTAACTGAAATGTTTGCTCTCTTAAATTTGATCTAGACCAGGCCTGCATAATCTGTGGCCCTCCGGATGTTTGAGACTCTGAGAAGCCCGAACCAGCTTGTCCAATAATCAGGAATTCTGGGAGGTGAAGTCCAAAACGCACTGGTTGTGCAGGCCTAATCTAGACTTTTGCTCATTGGTGTTCTACAAGTACTAGAAGAAGGGAACAATACAAAATTTCACCCAGAATCCCCAGCAGTGCTGTTTGGGAAGACTTAGAATAATATGACTGGTGTAGATAAATGAGTGAATAATACTACTCCCCCCCCCCCCTTCTTCCAGTTATAAAGCTATTCTGAAACTCAGTTCCTCCACTAAAAAGAAGGAACTATTTAATTCACAGATGGATATGTCTGGAAAGTAAGAGGAAAAAGAAAACAGGAGAATGTAGGTTTGCTGAAGGATTTGAATGAAACTAACTGCATGTACCTGAAGTATTTTTATTATTTGGCAAGAGCCACAATCACTCCTTCAAAATGAACAGTAGATCAACCTCCTTCTATCACCTTAATTTTTGCTCATTTGAAAAGACAGAAGATGAAATAAAGAAAAAAAAACCCTTTAGAACTTACTGTCCATTTCCATCTTGAATATCTACAGCATTCTGTGGTTCTGTATTTCCTATCAACAACCGCAAGCATTCTGAATGTCCATTTGTAGCTGGAAAGTATTACCAACAAATAAAAGACTGAAATTATCACAATCATTGGTTAAGAACAATATAAAGGTGTTAATATCTTAAATGATATATAGATAAAATGTGCTCCTATTTCTAACACCAGTAAAATATTTCAGATCCAAATATATTTGAGGAGGATGCCCTGCACCCACACTTTCATCATGCCCTTGTCAGCATTTCAAGTTAGTGTGCTTCTATTTCAAGTCCACTGCTTTAATCAAGGAAAAGCCAGGATGTGAAAGAGAGAGAAAAATGATAGGTTGGGTAAATTCACAGATTACAATTGTAAGAAAGACTTCTACAAACAGGCAATTTTCTAGCTAATTTAGCAAAAGGTGAACATCATGCTAAGAAAGAGAAGAGGATTGCTCTTCTGTTGCTTGATGTCTATTCTATAGTGAGCAATGGTGCTAAATAGTTGGGACCAACCAGCAGTTTTTCTGTAAGCCTCAGTTTTTCTATAGTCACATTTTTCTGTAATCACATTAGTCACTATAAGCAGTTTTTCTATAGTCACATTTGCCATCATCAGCATAGAGTAATGCATCTCTATCCTGGAGGATAATCAGAGCCAACAACATTGTTCCTAGCCCTGGCCTAGAAAAACACAGTGTAGATATTGATACACCATGTCTCTGAAAAGCATAATAAACACTCTAGGAGACTAGCAGAATGGTGCAAGGTAATCCATGTAGAACACAAGTGTCCACTGAACATCCAAAAAGTGTGTGTGTGTCGGGGGGATATATATACAGAGGAAAGAACACATTCCAAGGAAAATAAGCAAATGCACTCTAAGGAAGGAATAAATATCTACACAATATGGAATAAAAGCTAAGGACGGTTTTGAATGCATGGCACAATTCTCACTTCTTGCACAAAAGATTCCAATCAAAAATGCAGTATCAAGGGTTAGTAATTTTGGTTGTATGTCACAAAAGCTTCAAATGACATTTTTGTAAGCAATGCCAATACTACTGAGAAAGACAGAGACCATGAAGGGGTGTGTGTGTGTGTAGAGATAAAGGTTAAATAATCACATTAAGAAAAGTTAACAAACAGAACAGGAAACAGTGGGATCCTGGCAGAAGCAAGGCAGATTCATAATGGAAAGCACCAAGTTCTTTAATTGCAGAAACAAGTATGAAGCAGTTGATATTGAACAAGACAATGCAAGAAGCTAGCATATATTTGAAAACTTCCATCCAACAGAATGGAATTTTAAAGATTTAAGGGTGATCTATATCTTCGGAAAGGAAGGTAAATCCTCCAAGCCATGAGGAACAGCATGAGTAGATCTGGATGGTGAACTTTCTATATGGGTTCTACAGATCAAGATTTTGCAGTGATTTGTGTGTAGATAATTAGTTGTAAACGAGCTTGTCCACTCCACACAGGAGGGCCTCAGTAAGATCCAATAACTGCAGAACAAACTAATGTGAACAAACTATGTTACAATGAGTCACACATTAATACACAGGTTCCTACAATGTATTAACACGCTGCCCCCAATGAAATATGCAATGTCCCTGTACAAATACTTGGGAGAAAGCACTTTGTGACGACTATTGGATTCTCAGTTTCAGTGGGAAATAAGAACTAGAGCTGTATTGCTATGCTGTATTAACTACGTGCCCATGAAATAATGACTCTCCAACTGGGGAAAAAGTTGTTAGCTCCCAGTGAGCCACAAACTTTTCTGGAAAAATTAAATATGGTGAAAACGTCCCATAAGTGGACTTCACACAAAGCTAAATATCAGTATTGCTGTGTGTCATGGTAGGGCATTTATTTCTGCTTGCCTCTTCAAAGAACATCTGGTAGGAAATACATGGCTTCCTGAAATAATCTCTTCAGAAACAGAACTAGTTGTGGAAACCAGGGTGCCTATACCCATAAAGAGTACGAAGAAGAGAGGAAGCTGCTGTGGTGCTTTAGATTAGAGCTATATGGTAATCACAGGAGGAATCACATGAGCTGAGTCAAGCTCTCTCCTTTGAGCTTCAGTGGGATGCTCTGCCCTGTCATTCTTCTTTCTCTTTGAAATTTACTCATCTAGAGTATATTGTGAGTGCTCCTTCAGTGCAGATTTCTCCTTTCAGATTGACAGTGATTTCACCATATTGTTAACTGAGTGAATTGTCCTGTCTAGACTTAAGGGGGGAACCTGATGTTCCACTAGCACTGACCCCATCTATATTGCCATATAAAACAATTATATGGCCAGTGTAGATTCATATAATGCAGTTAAGCAGAACTGTGTCTACACTAACTATATAATGCAGTTTCAAACTGAATTATATGGTTGTGTAGATGGAACTCTTGACAGAACTGAGACATGTTCCTCCTATAATAAATATATAATTCATAGAATCAAATAATAGAGTTGGAAGAGATCATGAGGGCCATCCAGTCCAACCCCCTGCTATGCAGGAAAAGCACAATCAAAGCACCCCCGACAGATGGCCTCCAAAGGAGTTTCCACCACACTCCAAGACAAAGTTCCAATGCCAAACAGCTCTTACGGTCAGGAAGTTATCCCTAATGTTTAGGTGGAATCTCGTTTCCTGTATCTTGAACCCGTCGCTCCGAGTCCTACTCTCTAAGGCAGCAGAAAACAAGCCTGCTCCCTCTTTCTTGTGGCATCTTTTCAAATATTTATACGTAACCATCAATGTCTCCTCTCATACCCAGCTCTTTAAGCTGCTCCTCATAGGTCATGGTTTCCAGACCTTCAATCATTTTAGTCGCCCTCCTCTGTACATGTTTCAGCTTGTGAGTATCTCTCGTGAATTGTGGAGCCCAAAATTGGACATAATATTCTCAAACCCCCGCCCCAGGGGGTTGAGTAGGGCAGGGTACAAGTGTTCAAAATAAATAAATAAAGAAGTAAGGTGAGGTCTGAGCAAAGCAGAATAGAAGATCTAGACACTATTCTTCTTTTGAAGCAGTCCAAAATCCTATTGGCTTTTTTAGCTGCTGCATCACCTTGTTGGCTCATGTTCAAGTTGTTTCCTAAGACTCCAAGATCTCTTTCACATGAACTGTTGTCGACCCAGATGTCACCCTTCCTGTATCTGCACATTTCATTTTTTTTGCCTAAATGTAGTATCCTACATATCTCCTTGTTGAAATTCACTTTGTTAGTTTGAGCCCATCTCCCAAGTCTGTTAAGGTCCTTTTGAATTCCGATTGTTCTGGAGTATTAACTACCTCTCCTAATTTTGTGTCATCTGCAAACTTAATAAGCATGATTTCTAAACATTCATCCAAGTCATTAATAAAGATGTTGAACAGCACTGGGCCAAGGATAGAAGCCTGCGGCACCCCACTAGTCACTTTTTTCAGGACGAAGAGTAACAATTGGTGAGCACCTTTTGCATTCGATTGCTCACCCAATTACAAATCCAACTAAAAGCAGTATTGTCTTGCCCACAGTTTACGAGTTTGTTTGCAAGAAGATCATGTCTTAATGAAATCAAGATATGCTACATCCAAAGCATTCCTTGTATCTAATATTGTAACTCCAGCAAAAAGGAGTAAGATTTGTCTGGCATGATTTGTTGTTGAGAAATCCATGTTGACTTTTCTAAATGATTATACTTAATGATCTGCTCCAGATTTTTTTCTGAAAAATACTGGGGTTGTCATCAATATTCATTGCAAGGGAGCTCTCATTTTCTGGTTTGGTATTCCTATCCTATCATTCCAAATTATTTTCTACCTTTGCTGTTTGAAACAGAAGTGGAGGTAAGTAATGTTCTGCTTCATTTTCTACCTGGTGAGTGACTAGCCTGGAGTAATAACAGAACTGAACGGCCAACAGATCAACACACTTTGTAGCCTTCATCAAGATCGAAGGGGCACTAAAACAACAAGATTCTATACATATTTAGTATAATGTGTGTGTGTGTATATGTGTATGTTTGTATGTATATGTGTGTGTGTATACACACACACACACACGTGTGTGTGTGTGTGTTGATATTTAGGATTTCAAAACCGAACAATTGCATAATGTTCAATTAGTATTTCATATAACAATTCAAAAGTGAAAGAAAATAATGAAAACGTCCTTGTGAAATGGTCTGCAGCACCAAGAAACACACTTGTGTGATTTCTGGAAAACTACAACCACCAGTGCAACTATTTTTATTTTAGAATAAAAATAGGATTCCAGCCAGTGTCCATTGGATACCGCCATCTCTCCCCTGCAGGGGGTGAACTCAAGAGGGTGTAGAAGAAATAACAAAGACTTTCACAGAAGTCCAAACATAAATCCGACAAAAAGAGAAAGGTCCTCATCTCAGAGGGGGGTGTACAAATAAAAAAAACCAGGGTTGTTTGATGGTGCAAATATTTGCTATGATGTTGTTTATATGGCAGACTTTTTTAAAGGGGGTGAAAACCTGATATTTTTCTAACATTCAAGAATATTCAGATCCATATAAGTAAAGCACAGTGAATATACAGAAGAATATTTGAAGCTTTTTCCACAGTAAAAATAAAACATCAAACATGGGCTAATAAAAATGAATTAAATGACAAGAGTTAAATATATGTAAACTGAACCGAAAGGGATATTTAAAATTACCATATAAAACAAGAAAATCAAAATATATGTGCTATATATATATATATATATATATATATATATATATATATATATCCAACGGCGCTCCATGCAGTCATGCTGGCCACATGACCTTGGAGGTGTCTATGGACAACGCTGGCTTTTCGGCTTAGAAATGGAGATGAGCACCACACCCCAGAGTCAGACATGACTGGACTTAATGTCAGGGGACTACCTTTACCTTTATATATATCCAAATATTAATAATAAAAATAATAACAATAATAACTTTATTTATAGTCCACCCCCTCTCCCAGAGGGGACTCAGGGCGGTTTACACACAAAAAGGCAAACATTAAATGCCCAAACAAATGCAAATACATTAAAGTAATACAACATAATACAAAATAATAGCAACAGTGAGCTTATCACATGAAGGAATTAACAACAAAATGAAAAGCAGGATAGAAATAATTACATAAAACAAATTACACTAATAGCATAGTCAATGTTAAAACATCTATCACAATAAAAACAATTAAAAGAGATGAAAAATTGGCTGTTATAGTTGTTCTTTAAAATGTATCATAGTGGGGTACAAGTAAGTCAGCCAACATTCCAACGAAATTTGTCTACCACATATTGCAAGTATTTTCAAACTGTTCATCAACTTTAAAAACTTTAAGAGAAGCTTTCATACAATCAATTAAACTAGTTCTACAATCTAAAAACCATAACTCAAAAGGAAAAAAGAGGAGGCAAAAGAGAGGAAAAAGAATACTTCAAGCCTAAACTCTTTAAGAGCAAATCAGCCACTCTTAAAGTGACCAGCTAGAAGAGAAATTTGAGAACAGAAAAAACCGCATGTAGCTTTTGAACACAGCTAATGAAAAAGACCCACATTCCATCTCCCTCTCCTCTTCCTATAAATTTGATATTAAAAACATTAACAAAGCTTACCTGCAGCATGTATTGGTGTTCTCTTTACAATGTAGTCTTTCACCAAGATAGACGCTCCCTGATTGATGAGTACATCCACACATTCAACATGTCCTTTAAAAGCTGCAAGATCTAATGGTGTTCTTCCATTATTGTTCCGGACATCCAGGTCTAACAAAGATTGTACTAACACTTCCAGAGCTTGATGATGTCCATGGTAGGCCTGAAAATTTTCAAAGCTTTAGCTAGTGATAACAGATAGATAGATCTGTCTTGAAACTAAAATGTACATCCTACCAAGTGACAACATGTAGTTCATGTATTAACAAATATAAACAATGGCTGAGCTGTATGTTAAATTCAAAACTACCGTATGTTAAATTGACCTCCAAAATGTTAATTAATTAGAATAGGTCAGTAATCAATATTTGGTGAAAATAATACTTACAGCTAAGTGCAATGGACTAATTGGTGCCCTGTTGTCTGAATCATTCAGCATGTCAGTTCCTGATGTTTCCATTAACTAAAGAAAAATACACATATAATTGAGAACACAATTCGTTTACATTTAACATATGCTGTTCTGCATCATATCATTCTATAATACATTCAATACCATATAAAAGCACTAAAGTACTAAACATATTGAGCTTGATGAAAAAACTTCAATTTTGTCTGACAACATATCAACTAATTTGTTTTTAAAACACTTGGCAAAAGAACATGTTGCCAACCTGTTATACTGGTTATTCTAAATGGTCCTCTATGAACTCAAATATGAGCTTGTACACCTGTGCAGAGCAAACCAGAACCTTCTGGAGTTAAGCATAGTATTTTCAGCGGGACATTAACTACACAATGCATGTGTCTAGAGAAGATTAACACCAATCCCCCCAAGTTTCTGGCCAGTTGTACTAGAGACAAGGAGGCAAAGAGGACAAGGTATCTATCCTTGGAGATCATGTGAGATGACTGCTAGAAAAACCACAATTACAGATAAGTAACTTGTTCTTTTTGTGTTCCCTATGACTAACACACAAGGGCAGATTAACAAGAAGGAAAGGGAGGGTGTCACTTGAACACTGTGGATAAAATCATTCTGCCAAAACTGGTGTCTTGATGAATATTATGGTTCAATACCTCATAGATAACAACAAGGCAGCAGGAGACGACGGGATCCCAGCTGAACTGTTTAAAATCTTGAAATCGGAAAACACAAGAATGGCCATCAGACTGGAAAAAATCAATTTACATCCCTATACCAAAAAAGGGAAATGCTAAAGACTGCTCAAACTTCCATACAGTGGCCCTTATTTCTCATGCCAGTAAGGTAATACTCAAGATCCTGCAAGGAAGACTCCAGCAATACATGGAGAGAGAGTTGCCAGATGTACAATCTGGCTTTAGAAAAGGTAGAGGAACGAGAGACCAAATTGCCAATATCCACTGGAAAATGGAGAAAGGCAGGGGGGTTCAGAAAAACCTCTATTTCTGTTTAATTGACTATTCTAAAGCCTTTGACTGTGTAGATCATAATAAATTGTGTTCTTGGTGGTGTGGGCATACCAAATCACCATATCTCTCTCCTAAGGAATTTGTATAAGTACCAAATAGCAACAGTAAGAACTGACCATGGAACAACAGACTGGTTCAAGACTGGGAAAGGCGTGCGGCAGGGTTGTATACTCTTTCCCAACTTATTCAAATTTTATGCAAAACACATCATGCGATATGCAGGGCTTGACGAATGCAAGGCTGGAGTGAAAATTGCTGGAAGAAACAATTAACAACCTAGTTATGCAGATGACACCACTTTGATGGCTGAAAGCGAAGAGGAGCTGAAGAGCCTTCTAATCAAGGTGAAAGAAGAAAGCGCAAATGCTGGGTTGCAGCTAAACATTTAAAAAAAACCAAGATTATGGCAACAAAAACGATTGACAACTGGGAAATAGAGGGAGAAAACGTGGAGACAGTGACAGACTTTGTATTTCTAGGTGCAAAGATTACTGCAGATGCAGACTGCAGCCAGGAAATCAGGAAACACTCACTTCTTGGGAGGAGAGCAATGCCCAATCTCGATAAAATATTGAAGAGTAGAGACATCACAGTGACAACGAAGATCCGCATAGTTAAAGCAATGGTATTCCCCATAGTCACCTACAGATGTGAGAGTTGGATTATAGTGAAGGCTGAGTGAAGGAAGATAAAAGCTTTTGAACTGTGGTGCTGGAGGAAAGTTCTGAGAGTGCCTTGGACTGCGAGAAGATCCAACCAGTCTATACTTCAGGAAATAAAGCCCGACTGCTCATTGGAGGGAAGGATAGTAGAGGCAAAGATGAAGTACTTTGGCCACATCATGAGAAGAAAGGAAAGCTTAGAGAAGACAATGATGCTGAGGAAAAAGGAAGGAAAAAGGAAGAGGGGCCAAGCAAGGGCAAGATGGATGGATGGCATCCTTGAAGTTACTGGATGGACCTTGAAGGAGCTGGGGGTGGTGAGGTCACAAAGAGTCCACGAGGTCCATGAGGTCACGAAGAGTCAGAAACGAATGAACAACAAATCTCATAGAAAGATGAAATTTCAAACAAGCATTCCACTTGCTGGTTGTTTGACTCCAGCAACTTCTCTGCAAAAGTCAAAGCCCTTGATTTCTCAAAAGCAAAGATCTTAAACAAAATACATGAGTTCAAAGAATCTGCTTACTAAAGTTTCAGCAATGCTTGCACGTGCCCACTATATGGGGTTTCCCCAAGCAAAATGAGACATCATGTCTGATTGTTAAAGATCAGGGTATTTTCCCCTACAGCTGATACACTTCTTGAAGTGCTCCTTGGAGGACATAAGCCCCAGATTTCACTGAAGCAATTCATCAATGAAGAAAGACTCAAGAAAATGGTATATGGTGAAAGACAAAAGAAAGAAATGCTACTGAACACAAGAATTCAGAAGGATAGAAGGCCATAAATTTCTAGTCTATCCACTGCTATCAACCAAAGGGAACAAAAATGATTAGCAGAAACTGCCCAAACATGTTCACTGAGTGGGCAAAATTCCCAACAAAAATGGTCAAGAAAACTGCAGTAGGAGAAAGCTACCAAAAAGGGCAGGACTTGGTCAAGAAAACTGCAGTAGGAGAAAGCTACCAAAAAGGGCAGGAATTTTCAATTTGTATGGCCTTGCATAATTTGAACATCATTGATGATATTAATAAAATTTGAACTTTTTTAGGGTTTTAAACTTTTTTAAAAATATACAAAACTAATTAGTAATTTTATTTTGCTCTTGTTATTGTTTATTGTTACTCTTTAATAACAACCAGTGGACTTTGAATTAACTGTGATCCTCTGAATATGGGATCTTCAAGAGACATTATTAACCACCCTGGTCATTCAAGTAAAATATACTAATGTACATAATTATTACACTTCTGCAATGAATATTTTCAAAACGAAGATTGCTATACTTACAACATCTAGAGGTGTTTCACTGGCAATCTGCAATTAAACCCACACTTAAGTTAAATACTGCTGAAAATGTGGAAATAAACATATTCTAGACATTTGAATTGTAATAATTTGAATCTGTATTTTTCTTCAGAAAATATACAGTAACTAACTTAAAATGCTTATATAAATCAACCATCATGACAAACATTGTACCTATCTTGACAGAGTTTTCCCAGTTGTTTCATGCATAATTAGCAGTTGCTGTATGTAAGCATGAAACCATCTGTTCTGTTTAGTTAAAAAGCATACTTCAATCTGACATTAGTTGAAATGAGTGTCACACTTGGCCAAGATTCAAAAAGCAACACTCAGTTTGTGGACGTCAGGCTTTTGATTTTCAGATAGTATAAAATATGACAAACCACTAAACAGAATGGAATATCAAAAGCTTTTGGGCTATACCATTAGGACTGGCAGCTCAAAGAAAAGAAAGTATATAAAAAAAAACACAGGAGGCCAAACTGTCAAATAATTTTTAAATCATGGTCTTAATTTGTAAATACTCAAAATAAGGCACTAAATGTTCTAGAATTTTAATACTTTGCTGATTGCTTTAACAGTAACTGTTTTATATGGATAAAGATAATCATTTCAATCATTACGTACTGCTAATTATGCTTCACAGTAATTTTTCTTACCAATTCAAGGCATAAGCGATGACCATAAGCAGCAGAATAATGAACTGCATTATATCCTTGTTTGTCTCGAATTCCTGGATTTGCATCATTTCGTAATAAGTATTCCAGACACCTAGGCAAAATAACATTTTTATCTTTAATCAATGGGTTTAGTATAAAGTTTGAAAACGGTCCCACTTCAATTTTAATCTTCTCTCTACACAAAGGAAATTTATATTTTCAAGACCAGCAGTGTTATCTAAGTGTTGTTACTATTTGTGGTTCCTTATGTAACAGTACATGTGGAAACAATATATTTTCACACAGATTATTCTGGATGTAGGGGGAAAGAATGTGTGAACAACCATAATTTATGTATGCATGTATTCTTTCAATTAAGCTTCCATTGTCTTGTCCTGTGAAGACATATGATAACCTTTGTTGTACTTTGTTGAACAGGCACTACTGAACTCTGTGGAAGATAAATGACGGTAGAATGTTATACATAAGAGGAAATGTACTTCTTCATAATATATTGCAGAAACCCTCATAAAAGTTTTGTTGTTAACCAAACCTATCAACTGGCTTCAGAAGGCATTAATTACATTTTGTAGAGACAAGAGAAACTTTATATCTTTTTGCACATTAGCTGATAAATGCATCTGTCAGAGACATGACTTGTAAAGTTTTATTTAAAAATATAATGTAAAAGTCACTGACCATTGGCCAGTCTAGCAGGAGCATTATACTATGTGGATTGCAAACTCCTTTATCCAACATATTGTCATACTTACTTTCCATCAGTGTCTGAAGCAGCTGCATAGTGCAGTGGGGTACAACCCCTTTCATCAAGATCATTTACACTAGCTCCAGAACCCACAAGCGCAAACAGGCACTGGTAATTACAATTGGCTGCAGCATAATGGAGCGGCGTTCTATGATATAATGAAAAGAACGAAAATAGGTAAAGTAGTACCTAGTTACAAACTACTGCTGGCATAGGAAAAGCTCACAAAACTTTGCATTTATAAACCCACTTATATTTCCACCATTCTTTTCTGCAAGCATTTGAGCAAACAAACAATTAAAATGTGTTTATTAGAAATTGTTCAGTTACACTATATCAGGCATGGGCAAACTTTGGTCCTCCAGGTGTTTTGGACTTCAACTTCCACAGTTCCTAACAACCTAGTGGCTGTTAGGAATTGTGGGAGTTGAAGTCCGAAACACCTGGAGGGCTGAAGTTTGCCCATGCCTGAACTATATCCTCCCTGTCCTCACAAGTCTCCTAACATAAATTGTTCAACAGTATTATAATGTCAGGAAATAGGCAATCTTCATTATACCATTATGATAATACAAACTAGTTGTTGCTGTTGGCACAGGAGTGGAAATTAACTTACAACTTTCCCCCCTCACCTGTTCTGTGCCCAGGTTCAATGGATATCCATATAGCATATTTTTTACATACTTTTAAATCTAAATATAACAGTAAAATCCCATATGAGAAGGGCTCAGATCTGTCATGCCAATGTCTAGAAGGAAATGAAAGAATCTCTCTCCACCCCAACTACCATTGCCTTGGCCTTGAAAAAGAGGGGAAGTGACAGGCATTTTATTTATCATGCCTAGTCTAAGAAGAAGATGAAAGACCCTCCTTCCATCCTGCCTGCTACTGCTGCGGCCTCAGAAAGAGAGAAGAAACAGCACAACCTGAAATATTTAATAACTTCTGCCACTCCCTCTTCCTTGTGTGTCACGTCTTATTTTGACTGTAAGCTTGAGAACAGGGAACTGTCAAATTAACAATTTATAAACTGCTCTGAGAGACTCTATGGCCAAAGAGCAGACTATAAATACTCTAAATAAATAAATATGGTGGATAGAAATTATAAAGTTCAGGTTTCTGGTTATTAAATGTTCTGTTCACACGTTTTGTAAAATATACATTTAGTATGTTCAATGACAAAAAGCAAGTGTGACAAAAGGCGTGCTTTCACTTTCTCACCTAGCATAAGAAACAATTTCTGGCCCATATGAAAGGGGAAAAAAGATAAATAAGCTAACTGAAGAGGGTGCCGGATTATAGCATTAATGGGATTGAAATCTAAACTGGCTTGGCAATTCAATTTTATTGGAGCACACCTCATATCTGCGTAACCATCATAGCCAACTACATTGGCAGTTGCAGACCAACATTTAGAGTGGAAAATGTGCCCATCCCTGAGCCAAACCCATGATTCTCCCAACCACTGACTATTTAAGGATACGGACCTTTGTCTTAGGATGCAGTTTTGTCTCAGATGAACATAAAAGCTCTAGAGAATCCACACTAAAATTACCAAATCACAGTTGTTCTAATTACCAGTAAATGTAAATAGTAATTGAATTTCATACACAGACAACATTTCTGAATTTTATAGTATGCATTTTACAATATTTTTATCCTCAAGAAAAAGGTCATAGATTTCAACCACAATAAGCATACTGTATTTAATGGAATTGTATTATACATGCAGAAAAAAAAATTCTTGCCTGCCAAATTTGTCTTTCTTATTGAAGTCTGCACCTGTGTTGAGCAGCAGATTTAGGCATTCTAAATTCCTAAAAATTGAATAAGATAAGTGATAAGTTCCCCATGAAGCAAGGAGTCCAGGAGAGTTATAAAAATGATTATAATATTATTAAAAACATAAAATGGTGACATTAAAATCAACAATTAACAATACAAAACTAATTTAAAATATACACTTAGAAAGAATAAAACACCGTTTAAAACAGTACAAAATTATCCCAAAAGCCCTTTCTTTAAAAAAGAAATTTCCTCCTGAAACCTGATAGAATAAAAAAGCCTGTTTGTTGACAGAAACAAGTTAAGAAGGACCATATTAGTCTTCCCAGAAAGGAAGTTCCAAAGTGTTTGGGGAATCTAACGAAAATGTCCAATCTCCTGTCCCAACCAAATATATCTGTGGACATGGTAAAACTAAAGGCGCTGTAGAATTAATGCAGTTTCTCACATTGATTGAGTTGAAGCAATGCTATGGAATCATGGGAGCTGTAGGTTTACAAGGTATTTAGCTTTCTAAGTGCTGGTGCCTTGCCAAATAGTGTTGGTGTTTCATCAAACTTCAACACTCATGATGGAATAGCATTGAGCTGTGTCAGTTAAAGTGGTGTCAAACTGCAATTTTATAGTGCAAATGAACTCTAAAAGAAGTGCCTCTCCTGAGAAATTCAGGATCCAATCAGAGAGATACCCATCTGTCAAATAGCCTGGAACTAATCCATGTAGGGCTTCATAGTCTTAATGAGATCTTTGAATTGTGCCTGGAAACAGACCAACAGCCTGTGGAGCCACTGGAGCATGAGAATTGTATGATTCTTGTAACCAGATAATATTCTAGAGCGAAGAGCTTTCCAAATTATGTGTTGTGACACATTAGTGTGTAGGCTGCAGTCTGTAGGTGTGTCACGTGAACATAAGGAGTAATCTCATAGACTATGTGAAATAAGCAATACAGCATATATTGTAATATATATATAAATGAAATATTTTCATGAGATATGTTGTGCCCCCACCATTTCATTATTACAATTTATGTATGAGTCTGTATCTCTTACAAGCAGCTAGTTTAACTTCCAGTTTGCTAGTAAAACTGAATTACTGTGTTGCGAATGAAGCACGTCTAAAAAGGGTGTCACCAACATGAGAGGCTTGGAAAGCTCTGCTCTAATAGCAACACTTTGTATCAACTGAACTTTCTGAACACTGTTCAAAGGCAAACTTAGGTAGAGTCCATTCCAGTAATGCAAAATGAGCTATAACTAAGGCAAGTGATACTGTGACCAGACCAAGCATCTCCAGGACAGTAAATTTAAAGATGACATAGCTACAATAGTGAAGTAGACTAAACATAACTGATAATCAAAATAATCTGCATTTTACTTATCTTAAAACATCTATCTCCTAAATAGAAACATATAATAGCTGCCACAAGCACAAACATACATCACTACAGTTCGGCCCTATGTTTATTTCCATGAAGGCCCCATGAATATCAAATCTATGAATGCTCATGATATAAAATGATATAGTAAAATTATGTCCCTTATAAAAATGGCAAAATCAAAGATTTTAAAATATTTTCAAGCCATGGATGGTTGAATCAATGAATACAGAAAGACATGCAGAAGTGCTGTGTGGTATACCCGTTTTCACCGGATCTCAGCACTTACTCACTCTGCATGGAATCATTAAATAAAATCAACCAAGAATTAAAACAATACATTACTGTAAAAATTAACAGTTAATGAGTAAATTAAAGGATGAATACTAGGCCTGGTTGATCAAGAAAAAATTTGGTTCTAAAATCGATTTGTAATTGGGGTGTTTTTTTGTTTCGATATTTAAAATAATAACAAAACTTTCCCCCAAAAAAGTTTTGGTATCAACAAAAGAGTCTTTTCTTTTTTAGAATATTTTTTGTATTTTTTAAGAATAAAAGACAGGTATTTTTAAAAAATATTCAAAAATGGAAAATTAACCAAAAACTGGCTCTGATCTAACACAGCCAAAAGACAGGGCAAACGAGAGCACACACCAACAGAAGAGTCTTCTCTTTTTTTAGAATATTTTTTGTATTTTAAGAATAAAAGACAGGTATTTTTTAAAAATATTCAAAAATGGAAAATTAACCAAAAACTGGCCCTGATGAACAGCTAACACAGCCAAAAGACAGGGCAATCGAGAGCAAACACCAACAGAAGAGTCTTCTCTTTTTTAGAATATTTTTTGTATTTTTTTAAAGAATAAAAGACAGGTATTTTTAAAAATATTCAAAAATGGAAAATTAACCAAAAACTGGCCCTGATGAACAGCTAACACAGCCAAAAGACAGGGCAATCAAGAGCAAACACCAACAGAAGAGTCTTTTCTTTTTTAGAATATTTTTTTTTTTAAGAATAAAAGACAGGTATTTTTAAAAAATATTCAGAAATGCAAAATTAACCAAAAACTGGCCCTGATATGAAAGACACACAGCCAAAAGACAGCCAAAAGCACACACCAACAGAAGAGTCTACTCTTTTCAACCAATGCAAGTCTTTTTCCTGCCCAAGCCAACCCAAAGCAAGCAGCCCTCCCGGACCTCTCTCCTCCCTCGCCTCCGCGCAACAAATGAGCTCTGCGGCCACGCGGAGCCGCTTTTAAAGGCCTTGCCGGCCAATCAAAATCAGCCACGGTGCACTGCTTGGGTGCTTGGGAGCGCCGGATTGGCTCCCAGGCACCAGCATCCTCCATCCAATTTCCGAAACGGGCGGAAGCTCGTTAAAAGGATGGGGGATGCCGCTTCGATATTTTAAAACCCTTCCGGGTTTGAAAAAGTGTTTTGTTATCGTTTCGTAAATGCTAAAAATAACGAATGTTTAACGAATAACAAAATTAACGAACGAAACCGCACAGGCCTAATGAATACTGTCTAGTATCCACTGCAGTATATTTAATTAGAGTTTAATTTGCTATTAAATGAGATATTACCCCATAATTCTTTATCTCTATCTCTCATATGAAAAAGTGGCAAATATGATCATCTTAGTCCTGTTACAGGGAACGTCTGCAAGATCTGTGTTTTCTCTACTAGGAAAAGGAATCATTATATTCTTAAAGAAGCAACTATAGATCTGACCATATGCAGATACTGTATATTTCATTTTTATGTGTGTGCGCATACACAACTGGAATATTAAATACCCTTTGCACAATTACAAGTCCTAAATGAATACTGTGTGGCATACTTAAGTACTGCCAAGCAGAAATTGCTATAACTGTAAGAATACATACCCTCCGGCTGCAGCTGCGTGAAGACAGGTCCTGCCAAAATCATCTGGAGTATCTATGTCGAAGCCTACAAAAGAAGCACTTCAGTAAAGTCATCTATATAAAATTAATCTCTTCTTTATAACTTGGCAGAACACAATCATGCACTATGTTTTTGTAAAAAAATATATACACCAGAAGCACATTCTTGTATGAAAAGTAGATCTCACTTTTGTAGCATGGATGCTAGGACTTTCCAGGTGTAATATCAAATTGTGGTCAAGTGTTATCAGTACAAGTCTGGAGCTCACACACTTTACCCTCATCTTTTCCTCTCTGGTACAGCTCAATAATGTCAGGATTTTACTTTTAATCTAAAGCACAGCTCTCTGTCATATCAAACCATTGGGGAATGGTGTTTAGGTTAACCTAAGTTTAACTGAAACAACTCAGGATCCAATTATAACATGATTCTGGCTTGTTCACTTATCAAAGTTTGTTCACATAACCACAGCTCTTCCAATGTTTGGATGTAACAAAACATAAAACAGGAAGCAGATACTTCTGATCTCATTGCACTAGGGGAAAGGGGAACTCATGACTCCAAGGGGCTCATAGATGAATGTATAAATAATTGTTTAGCATGATGTCTCAATTGGTCAAATAATTACCATTACTCTTTCAGATACTTCTTTGTTCAACACAGTGCCTCCATTGACTATTTTGTTCATGCAAAATGTGCATGCCTGCACTTTTGGAGGAATTTTGCTAAATTTTGACTTCCGCTAGGTTGTTTTAACTAACTGGAAATTGTCTCCTCAGTAGGAGTGAGGAATAAAAAGTCCTTGGTGCTTGAAAAGTGTTTAAGTCAAAGACATTTTAAAAATCCAATTATGGGGGTGTGGCAGAGAATATATAGTATCCACAGGTGGTTGCAGGGGGCCAATCTACCCCCTGCTTCTGATGGGACTGGCCCACTTCTGGTTTAGAATAAAATAATATCAGACATCAACACATTTCAATGCAAAGGGTTTTTTCCAACTAAAATTATGCAACTCCTGTCAAGTGAGAGAAAAGAACATTTCCAATGGGAAATAGTGAATTTGGCTATTTAAAATCACACTGTAAAACAAAATTAAAATATCCTCATCCTTGAAAATCCTTATCATTGTAGCTGTTAAAATGGTACCATGGTTCTCAAGATTACTTTTATACTATGCCCAATAAGTCAAGCTGATTCCTGTCATATGAAAAGCAGCAGTTATTGTCACACTCTGAACAGCGTGACTATCAACTATTACAAAGGTATCCACCATATTTGATTGAAATCTAACTCACACTGTATTTGTGTTAATGTTGACTCCCTAACAGTTAATCAAGAGTATGACATAATAGAGCTAATTTCTTTTTGACATGAATAGGGCTATTCAAATTTATACATCATGCCTCTTATGGATAAAGTATTAATAGAACCCTTATACCTGGATTTCAAAATATGCTCCTTGACATTTAGAATCATCCATAAAGGTCTGAATCGAAATACTATAAAATGGAAAGGTTCCAAGCTAACTAATGTGATGAGACAGTGGATGACCTACAGCTTCTGCATGCCAGAATACTGCTGAAGATAAATGGTTGAATACCTGGATGGGAGGCCACTGAGAGTACAATACAGAACTCTCTTCACTTTCTAAATGGATTGCAGGATGGAAGCAGAATGAATAATGCTAGATTAAAATTTATCCCAAATAAGAAGTCAGATTAACATAAAGCAAAAGCTTTGAGTCCCTTTCAAAAGCCCGCCACCATTCACACTGCACCATCCTCACCTTCTTGTGGGAAATTTGATGAAGACTAAGCTTGGTGATAACTTCTTTTATCCTAAAAGCAGTTTCACCTTGAAACACAAACAATGCCCCCACTCGCACCAACAATAAGATGTAGAGGAAAGTAATTTAAGCAAGGTATGTCAGTTTCATCTCAAAGCTCTGTTCACCGTTCATTTTGGACAAGTGAATTGCCTAAGTACATATCTCTCACTTCTGCAAACAGGCTTAAATTATTATATCCATGCTTTGATGTTATGGCTAAACTACCAAACTATTATTTAAAACCAGAACTAGTTGTGCATTGCAGTAAGAAACATTATTTCTCTAATTTCTGCTTTCACATTAAGGGACAGATTCCCTTCATGTTTCATTAAAAGCAACTATATTCCTCAGAGAAACTCTCGTTTCAAAATACAGGGCATTGTCTCTTGAGTGATATGAACAACTGTACACAACTTCAGCCGTTTCCTATATAATCTAAAGAATATATTATGGTAAAATCAAAAGCCATTCAGCATTTGTAATAATAATAATAATAATAATAATAATAATAAGAAGAAGAAGAAGAAGAAGAAGAAGAACAACAACAACAACAACAACAACAACCACCACCCCAGGGGCTATCCAATCCAACCCCTTCTGTCATGCAGAAAAAGCACAACCAAAGCACCCCTTAGGGTAAGGGGGAAAGGATCTGGGCAGTGAGGAAAGCAAAGGAAACAAGCCTTTTGGGGGGTGAGGGAAGTGAGGAAAAATGCCTTTGGGGGTGAGGGAGGCAGGGGTGAAAGGAACAGGAAAGAGGGAAAGATTAAATAGGAAGGAGGACACAGTGGAGCCTCTCAATATGCTTTGCGGAGCCCCAAGGGCTCTACGGAGCAAATTTTGAGAACCACTGGTTTAGAGGATCACTTAACCAGCAGAAATAGTTCTTTGAGGTTCAAATATTGCTAAAACAGTAAGCAGAAGGATCCACTGCACAAGTAGAACTCCAATTAGACTAGAATTGATAGGAACTGACAATGTGGAATGAATTTACGGATTCTGAGCTGACGAACGTTGAGCATGAGATTGGTTTTATTTATTGTGATGTATAATTGATTGTTTTAATTGTTTATAATTGCTGTTTATATATGTTTTATTTTTATTGTTTGTGTAGGCATTGAATTGTGCCTTTTGTAAGCCGCCCTGAGTCCCCCCTTGGGGGTTGAGAAGGGCAGGGTAGAAATACGCGAAATAAATAATAAATAAATAATTGTAGATCTTATATTCCAAAATACATAATATAACTACATTTCTTTCTCTATGTTCATCCTCATCATGGCATTTACTTTCTGAGGATGGTTTTGCCCATGGCCATCCTCCAAATGGCATATATCATAGATTGAAACAAATTAAGCTAGTATCATGCTCACACAGTTGTTGCTATTCTTCCGCTTACTGCTGGCTTATGCAAAAAATTATATGGTACTAGCCTATCACAAAAAGTTACATTTATTGCATGCCCGCTAATTAAAAAGAACTACATTCTAAAATGTGCAAGAGCTCCAAAGGACTTACAGCAGAACAAAATGTACATTGCCTTCAACAGAATTCATATGTTTAAGAGACAACTTTTATCATTTATAGAGCGACCTCCCGTAAACATTTAAAGACTATAGATTAAAAAACTATTTTGACTGAGACTGCACTAGCAGAAGTCTATAATGTAATATATCCACAAAGGATTACAGTGAAAATATTGGATTAATTTCAAAGAACCTACCTGATGAAAGCAGCTTTCTGCAACAATCTGAAAATCCACTTAATGCTGCCAAATGGAGAGGAAACATTCCATGTATACCCCGCCTAAGATACACCATAATCAGACATCACAGTCTCATTACAAATGAAATAATTCAAGACTGACAAATTCCAAATAAACAAAGTTGCATTTAACAGTCTTTCTTAAAACAATTAAAGGTCACAAATACATGGATATGTAACAGACAATTAAAAACACAATAGCAACACAGCCATTTTTTCTTTACTCAGAGAGGATATCACATTCAGCTGCACAAGAAGCAATGTCTTGGTAAAAGAAATTCTGAACTTCATATAGCAAATCATACACATTCTTCATAAAATACTACATAATTTTATTGTAATCTTCCACAGATTTAGGATTATCTGTTTGTATAAAAAAATAAGATGCTATATAAAAGAGATTGCATGCTTCAGGCAGTATCAATTGCATTACATGTCTCTTTGCTTATATACTAAAATGGTAACCTGCAAGGACTACTATTTATTATGATTATGATGGCTTATTATGGTCACACTAAAATACATTACATATCATTACATATATTCTTGTGTGAATGCATGCCTACACGCAAACATACACATAAACCTCCCTAACTGCTATATAGTTTATATTCAAATAGTTAAAAGCACTCATTTTTGCTTACTTTGCAGTGTCAGCACCACTTGTAATCAACGTGTTGATGAGCAGCTCATGGCCATATCTGGCTGCTATGTGCAAAGGTGTATTTCCATTCTTATCTTCACAGTCTATTTCAGCTCCTAGAATTTAAATTTGGGGGAGGGGAGAAGTGGGATAACACAAGCATGTGTTACTAGGAACACAAAAATATTAATTTAATCAATTAATGTACACAGACATATAATAAGATTATCAAACTATCTAAATTAACACGAATATCCTTATATACAACTAGCAACTGTATCTCAGATCAGTTCCTGCTTCTTATAATCAAAGGTCCACACATTCATTTATTCTTTGTAATAGAGAGAGTAAATGTATGATTTTTAAAAATAAGCATATTTTAATAAAATATATAATGTAATTAATTCCACTGCAAACAAGCTACTTTTAAAATCCAAAAGAAAGATACTCAGCAACAAAAACTAACACTGAAAAAATAAGAATCCCAGGTTGCCAGAACAATCAAGCTACATAACCAATGGCACAGGGCTGCCCTAAAGGCAAACAAATGCCTGTACTCAAGACAGCAGCAAATCTAAAAAGAGGATCCCATTTCAATAAGGATCTCTTGGGAGATATTACTGGCATTATGGGGCCCCATAACAAAACTGTGTATTTGAGTGCACGATTAGCATTTGAAACGGGCAACAGTAAGCTAAGGAAAACTGTATCTAGGAAAACTGTAACTAAATGGGTCCTGCAGCATACTGAAATATCTGCTGTATATAAAAAGAAGAGTATACTTTGGATTTAGCACTCGAAAGAGTTTGGAAATGAGTCTCAAGAATCTGCCATATTTTGAAACACAATTTGGAAGAAAAAGTTATGGCTTGTAAATTAACTGAATTATTAAAAACCACTTTTCATTACAGTACAGAGTGGAAAGAACATTATTAATATTTCATTTTACCATTCTGGATGATAGTTTGTGATCTCGAAAATCTTCCATGAATTGCTGTCATATGCAATGGTGTTTTTCCATCTTTACTCTGAGGAAAAAGAAGTCAACTCATGGCTACCATTTAATTTACATTTAATTTAAATTGACTGCTGTATATTTTTTTTCCTAGAATGTTGTTCTGGTAGTGACAAGTAAAAATGAAATTGTGGGCTTTTCAATGTTACAGATTTATCAGTATTGCATGAAAGTTGAAAAATACAAAAACTACTAGGACATTTGCTAGCCAGAAGATAGCTATAGTTTCAAGTATCACTGCCAAATCCCAAGCAATAACTTGAAAGCAGTTAAAACAAGCATTTCATGAATATCTAATACAAACGGCTCAATTACAAACATTAGAGGACAGATCTGTTGTTTATAAATTATTCACATGACCTTTGGTGTCACTTATAAATTTACAATCAATTAATTGAAAACCACTGCCTGATTGAATTTTTTTTTTGAGGGGGGCATCAAACACAATAGTTTCTAAGCCTTTTAAATGAATGACAATTAAATCTTTTGGATAAATCTTGGGTCAAATATCTCAGAGATCATATGCACACCTGATTTGTTAAAGTGTTCCCTTGGAAACACCATGCACAACCTGATAGAAATGATCAAGTGGGTGCTTCTAATCAGCCCATGAACTAACAATGGGACTAAAAAGGAAGTCTGGGAGACAATGAGTTGACAGAAACCTGACTCTTCTACTTATTCCCACAACATAATGTGTTAAGCCTTGCAACTGTTGAATATTTCAACGCTTGGGTTTCATTTTACGTTACATTTTAAGTTGAAATGTATATTCATGGGAAAAGGACAATCAAAAATGTTATTACAGCACTTAAAATTCACCTTTCATTTCATTTTACCTTCATATTCACATCAGCGCCATTACAAACCAGGAGTTCTAAACATAGTGCGCCATGAGTTGAAGCAGCAGCAAAGTGTAAAGGTGTAAATCCCTTCTCATTCATTTGATTTACATTAGCACCACAGTCTATCAGTTCATTTACTACAACATCTTGTCCATTGAAACAAGCAACATGAAGAGGTGTGTTCCCATATGCATTTGGTTCATTCATCTGTTGGGGAAAATATAATGAATTGTCATAGAAATTTTATGCTGATGTTGGTCTATGACCATCAAAATGTTTATTTAAAATCTTTTCAGCCTTAACATTTGCTTAACAAAATGACCATTTAAATAAACGAACTGAATGCAAGTAGTTGGGTTAAACCGCCTAAGGGATGGGCCATATGCATTTGCACAGAAAAAGTTACTTTTTTAAATTCCAGTGAAAATAATCTTATATATCAGAACTGGTCATAGAAGACTAAATGGATTGGTGGTACAATTCAGTACAATGCAATTCTAGCTGTTCAACTATTTTTAAACTGTTAAGCTTGGAGAAATGCTGCTGTGGTTATAGGATTTCTTCAGTAAGACAAGAATTTTCAAGAACCATGCAAGTTTTTAAACTGCCAGTGAATAGTGTCATGAATCTAACCTTTTGCCAGGAAGGCCGAAGCCTGGAAAGTCAGTAGCTGACATGTTGAGAGATAGGCAGGAGAGCTAAGAGGCAAGAGGGAGGAGTCAGCCGACTCCTGATTGGCTAGAGCAGTCAGGGGAGGAGTTAGGTTTGTCTTATTTGACAAGCTGAGGAGAAGAGCTTTAAACATCGTAGAGTGAAGAAGTATTTTAGGGAGAGGGAGCTGAGAAGAATTTAGATAGGGAGAGAGAACTTTTGTAGTGAGCCTTGAGGATTAGAGCATAGGGAAGGCAAAGGTTCCTGTGTCACTGTACTTAGAAGGGTCAGTGAAGGAAAGCCTATTTTGCTCTGTGAGGCAGCCAGTGGGCTGTTCTCAGGGACACACTGTGTCAGTGTAGTGAACAGTGTGAAGCAAGGAACTCACTGGGAACAAAAGTTAAAGTCTTATGAAAAGACTGCTTGTCTAACCAGCTAAGCCTCAGTAACCACATTACGCTTTTGTACCACTCTTTTTAAGAGTTGATTTGTTCACCAAGTTTAAATAAACCTGTTGCTTATTTCAACTTAAACTGGTGTCTGCCTCGGTCTGTCACAATCATTAAACCTCTGTCAGCCTGAAGACAACTCATTTTCAGTCCAGTCAGTGAAAGAAGCAGTTATTAAAGAAAAACCAAGGGCTTGAACAAACTTTACCAATTTCACATTCACACTTATATTTTCCTCAGACATAAATTGAGGTGGTGGCGGCGAATCTACCTAGTACATCGGTCATTAACAATGTTAATACAGTTGGTCACTGAATAATATTACTGAGGTGGGATAAGAGAGTCTTTCCCCCTTGTTGTAGCCATTTTATCTTGGTTAAGGTAGTGTCCAGCTGAACGTTAACCTTCACACTGGTGACCAGAGGTGGGATTGCTTGTTGTCCACCCTGCCCAAGTGAACGTTGATCTCCTTTATATTGGTGGCAGTGGTGGGATTGCTTGTCCCCCCTGCCCAAGATAACGTTGATCTTTATTATAAATAGAAGCTCATATAAAGAAGCAAAAGCTCAATCGGCAGTCATTTCTATGGTTTGCAGTTTCTTCTTTTTCATGATTTTCCTGTTTTATATTATTTCAGCTAACATCTGACCCTCTCAATTATATTTGTGTCTTGGTGTCATATCAATATGAGAACAATATTAGCAACAGAAGTAAAATCAGTATTTAAAATTATCTTTTACTCACATCAACTCCAAGATCTAGAAGGTATTTGACTACACTGATCATTCCACTAGAAGCTGCAGCATGTAGCGGCGTATATGATTTCTTGTCTTTACAGGTCACTTCTGCTCCATGGGCTATAAGCAGCTTCACTACTTCAATATGACCTGGACAAACAAAGAATTACATTACTCGATGTACTGTAAAATGTAACTGAGACTGATCAAAATTCTTTTAATTGCACTGTTAACATTGCACTATTTTAAAAGATAGGTTATAATGTTGCTGATAAGACTGTCATAATAGTCCAATTGTGTGTGTGTTTGTTGTTATGTCATTCAGTTGTCGAGTTTGTACATTTTTTCTTTTTTCCTTCCTTTTTTTTCTTTCTCTTCTTCTTTCCTCTTTTTTCCCTTCCCTTTTCCTTCTCCGGGCAGTGGTAATCACCTCTTGATTCCCCTTTTCCTATACCCGTCACTTCCTAATTGTTCCCTTCTTAAACACTGTATTTGGAAATTCTCAATAAAAACTATTTTAACCCCCCCCACCCCCCCACCCCAAAATTCTCATAATAGAAAATTAAAAAAGGACATACAAGTTTTTTTCATTTTTTGTAAGTGAATGGTGTCTGTGTGACCTCTGACAACCTCATGAATGTCATAAGGAATTCTTAAAAAATACTCAGAGGTGGTTTGCAGGTTCTTCAGCTGATATACCGTCTACAGCACATGGTATTCACTAACAGTCTCTCATCCATTAATATCCAAAGCTGATCCTGCTTAGCTTCCAAAGTCTGACAGGGTCTGGTGTCTTTAGGGGAAGCTCCAACTTATTAAAAAGTCTGAGAAGCCGGAATTCAGAAATGTATGAACTAGACATAATTTACGGAGACTCGACAAAAGAGGTCCCTTTAAAAACAGAATAATTACATAATCCCAGTTGGTTAGGAGACAAACTGGTTAATTAACTAAATCTCTTTTGCAAAAACCATGTAAAACAAGGGATTGCCTAGGTGGCTTAATGAGGTGGTCAGGGATGTAGAGTCTCACACTAGGTGAGCATTTCAATATACTTTTGGCTCCAGGTGTGCAGGGGCACCCATATAATATCTGATCCAAAAAAGAAACAGTTTACAGGAGCACGCATTAAGAGCCGATACGTGAATGTATAGACTACCAAGACCTTAAGAGAAAGATTACTGTAAAGGAAAATGAAATTCATTTACATACCCATATATGCTGCCCAATGAATAGCCCTTCTGTCTTTCTTGTCAAAGGCATTAATATTGGCACCTCTAGACAACAATAAACTGACCATCTATAACAAAGAAGATTAATTTTATTGATTAACAACTGTATGATCAAAATATTAAATCATAATCCAAATTAAGGTAAATAATGTAAGTTGCTATTTTGTTTTCAAGGAGCAATTGAACAAACACCTGTTTGTGATAGGACAGCTGGTCTAGAGAATTGAAAATAAACCTTTTGTACCTCAACATGTCCACTGAAGGCTGCGTGATGTAATGCTGTTCTACCAGCCCGGTCAGACACATTTACATTGCTAAGAAGTGGCACCAAGGCTTCTGCACACTTGACTGCTTTATTTGCAGCTGCTATGTGTAGGGGTGTTTGCCAATTTTTGTCACGGGCATTGACATCTGCTGAATGCTTCAACAACACCTGTACAGCATCCTTTTAAAAAAAAAGCATAATTTCAATATATAAAAATATCAGTAAAGTAACCTCCCAATTTTGCTACATTCTCCTTCTGTTAAAATCTTTTTTCCAGCTTCCACCAACTGAGCCAAACCAACCACGCACTGTGACCTTGAAAGCTCACTTGCAGAACTAGAGTTCAGAGTCCTAGTGGATATTTATCAGATCTTGAGCAGAATAACTATATTGCTTCTGAAAAGAGATGCATCATCCTTCTTCACTTTATTTTGCATTGTCATCTCTAACCACTGGAAATTGGTTGTTTCAGTGAAGTGTTTCCTTCTGTTAGGTACCCTAATTAAAACATATCACTGAGTACACACAGGGAGGTAATGGCACATGTCCCTATGGGAGAAGGTGGCAGTACAATCTGAGGTGCTTCTAAGTTTTGAGAAGGCAGATCCAAAAAAGAACATTATTTCATATAGGTCACTCCACTGAAACATCCTAGACTCATGTCACAAATGATATTCTAATTGTTAAGCCTCAACAGCAAACATCTGTGCTGATCCTGTTGCATCTGTCTGCATCATCAGATCTGTCTACTACAGTTGACGCCATTGGAAATAATGGGGAAAGCATTGCTATGGTTTAAATCTTGTTTGTTTGTTTTTCCTCTGCTCCATTCTATGTCAAAAAGCCTTTCCTTAGACTGATTACTCTTTTGACTGCCAGAAATCTTGAGAGTCCTGCTGCATGCCCATTTGTCCCTGGACCCATTTATCACAGTGACAGCAAAGGCATGTAATAGCAATCTCTTGAACATCCGTAGTGTCTGTAAGTTCTTGACCGCTGAGATTGCCTGTTTGCTTGCCCAGGCTTTGATTATGTCATGCTTGGATATTTGTAATACTCTCCAGGTGGTTTTGCATTATTGTTCTCTTTTTCTGGCTTTAATTCAGAACCACACCATCTGAGTTGTTTAAAATCTTCCTAAATATCCACATGTTTCTTCTCTCTGTAGATCCCTTCGCTGACTACCAATTTGGGATAGAGTCTGTTTCAATTGCTGGTTCTTGCATTTTAGGCTCTGTAATCTATTCTGCCCAGCTGGCATGGAATGTGCACCATCTAAGAACTGAAGATCTACTAGCAAAGGATTATTATATTGAGGTGCACACTCTGCCAAGGTTGTGAGACTTTCAAGACCTGGCTCTACTGGAGGACTTCATCTGTTTCCATAATGGTTGAATACTTTTCTCTTTTTGATTTGCTGGATCAAACTGCTCAGTTCTGCCTGAGGTTATTGAGATGGATATAGTGGCTGATGGGGTGTTGGGGCTTTTGTGTATAGTTGTATTATGTTTTATTATGCTTGTCTGTGATTGTGTATGTTCGAAGTTTGGGGAAAATTTTATTATAAATAAATGTTGTTGCTGTCACATTCAACTTGAACAGGTACTTATTTACAGCAGTATTTTGCTCTTGTAGTTTTACTTAGGCAAGGGAAAAAAGAACTCGGCCCGACAACCTGACACTATCAGGTCTTCCCACTCCAACCACTTTTCACCTGGTGCTGTTGTTATTGTGATAGCATACAACTTAATAAACTAACTACAGACCCCACCAATGTCAAAAGGTCACAATGACAACATAATTGTGTCAATATAAAGGATGGAGTTGCAATCCTGTTCTTGTCTAAGTAAAGTGACACTAATGCAATATAACCAGAATAGGATTATACTTCCAAGATTAAATAAACTCTATTGAAAGAGTTAAAAAAATCCATACCTCACTACATGATGCAACAGCTCTGTGTAAAGGAGTCAACCATTTGCTGTCTTTGGCATTAACTCTAGCTCCTGTAGATAAAAACAAAAATTGCAAAAATACCCTCCAATATAACTTGACACTAATTTGATTTTGAGAGCATGCACGTAATTGAGAACTATTTCTTAATAAACTATTGCTGCAGAATAATAACAGATTAATAGCAGTGTAAATTATATTTCTCAGCAAACTGCAGTATTAATCTTTTTCCTCTAGTTATCTAATTGGTCATCAATCAGATTCTGTCTAATATTTCCGTAGTGCAAGGAATAGTAAAACCCATTTAACAACCCAATATATGTTAACTCAGTATTCTCCCAATCGAAGTGATTTTTTTTCCATTTTAACCAAGTAGATTTATTAACAAAACTGAGTTAACCATGCATTTTAAAAATCAGTTTCTCTGCAGCCAGTTAAATTACAGTACTGTATATCTTTTCACTAAGTATTTTAAGTCAGAATATTACTGTTGAAAGATTACTCTGTCATGCTATGTATCCTTAACTGGAAATGTCCCAAAGAATACAGCTGGGCATACTTCCAAGTAAATATATACAGGATTACACTACAAGAAATCTAAAAGCTGTAATTAGAGGGATAAAAATGTCCAACCTAACCTCTGCCAAACTTAAAACACATGTAGATAAACTACAATCCCCAAACCAGTATTGCCAGTGGCCATGATGGCTGGGGAAATTCTAGGAACTATAGTCCAAACAAAGTGATGTTTAAAATATTTGTTTTAAACATGTTATATGTTAATAATGAAAGAGAAAACAGAACCAACAGTGATACAGATTTTCTTCAACTTAACAGGTTATTCCTCTGTTTAATAGAAATATGCATTACAACTATTTAAAAACTCCCGGGATTAAGCTGTATAAAGGCATTCATTACTACCATCCTAGATTTCATCTTCATCAGCAGGAAAAAAAAACAGATTGATAAGGTGGAAGTAAGGGAAACCTTGGGTGAAAGAAATCTTGTCCTCTTGAGATCCAAGATACTGAAGAATTGGGGAAAATGTCTGTAATCAGATGTACCCTGCAATAAAGCTAAAGAATTACTGCCTCGTGGAGAGAAACACTAAGAGAGTAGGAAGTTCCATGATGGGTGGGAGTTTCTCAAAAGTAAAAGGAGTCTTGCAACCCTTCAGAGAATAACTACATTGGGGGCTCAATATCCTCTGGGTTTTGGTCCCAGGACACCATTCCTTAATGGTTATTATAAACATTACATAATAGGATAATAGTAATTGAAAGGTTTTGTATACAGGTATAGATAAGCAGGTAAAAATATGTGTATGATACAGAAAATATTTGTCTTACAAATTAATCGTCAACATTAAAGGAAAAACACCAGGATGCTAAAGCTCAGAATGAACTAAAGCTTACTGCAAAAAATAAAACAGGTATTTTCTGCTATGGCAAGCAAAAGAAGAAGCAGGGCCACTGCAAGAAGATGATAAACTGTTAATGGGTCACAGAAAGAGAGATGTGTACTGCCAAGTATGCAGGGTAGTCAGAGGAGCTGTGGCAGTCCTGTTATGGCAGAACGTTGCCTTCTTCTTACAAGGGCCTGGGAGGTTTGGCAGGTCCTGGGGGAAGTAGGAATCACCAGCTAACATGTTAAAATTGAGGTTTTAACCTATTGGAACAGACTGAGCCAGATGTCGGTTTCACTCTGGTTAAGATGGGGAAGTAATTAAGTACTTTCTTCCTGAACTGCATCACGGCCATCAATTCAAATCCAAGGTCAAACAAACTGCATTCAGGTGTATTTATTATACAGATGTAAGCTCAGTTTGCAGTGTTTGAGAATCATCTTTGAGAACAAGTAAGGGATACGAGGTTGATGAAAATATTGTCCCCCACTTGAAAAATGGGAACAAAAAGGATTTGGAAGCTACTGCTGAGTCAGTTTGACATTAATATCAGGACAGGTTCTAGCCTTAAACCGTTTGTATTAGCCTGGAAATACTAAAAAAAAAGTATATTGTGATTACTAAAAGTCAAGTTTCAAAAACAGCAACACATTATACCATTCTGTCTTATGTTGTTGTTAGAATGATAAGCTTCATAGATCTGGGGGTGGTGGTGGGGTGGTGGTAATGGATGATGATTTTAGCAAGGATTTTTAGAACAACTCCCACAATACACTTGCAGACAGGCTATTGGCAATGTTACTGTTAGCTGGATATATAACTAGTTGACAGATTGTACCCCAAAAAAGTCACAAATGTTTTTGTTTTGTTTTTTTGTCATCCTTGAGGGAAGTGATAATGAAAACTGCAGCAAGAAAATGTTATAAGAGAAGGGATGCTAATTAAATCTGCAAATGAGCATGGCAATCATATGTCATATAAGAAAGAACCAACAAATAAAATAAAATCTTACTTTAAAAAAAATCAAGGAATTTCTGAACCTTTTCTTTAACTTATTCACAGCTCCCAAATTCCAATTTAAATCTTCATTCTGTCTCTGACTGCTCTAACTAATTTTCATCCTTTCTCTATCTGACTCTTCTTACAGACAAGACTTTAGCTTGTATCCTTTCTCCCCTAGGCTGTGATTGGCTGAGCTATGGTTGACTGGCTCTAACCAGGCTTGCCGAATTCTGTTTTCGCAATTATCTTGACAGATTGAGTACTAAGTCATACTGGAGGAGAGATGCCCGAGGTGATCCAATCATTATTTTCAATGATCTGAAGATCTGTGTGTATACAAAAGAAAGAGCAAACTATCTTTAAAGTTATGCTGCTCCAGAGATAGATTCAAAATATGAGAATGGAAAGTTAAACTAAACATCAGGATGAATTTCCCAAAGTTAATTAGCTCTTAAACAGGAAACACACTGCCTTAAAAAATTGTGGCCTTTCCATTGAAGGTTTTGAAGCAGAGGCCAGGTGGCCATCTATCAGGGAAGTTTTAGCTATGGTATATCTACACTGACAAGAGTTGGGACAACATGAGTATTGAGGTCCTTTCAAACTCTTTAATTCTTTGATTCTACCCTAACCAAGGTTACTCTCAGAAAAAGCAATGGAAATATGTTAAGGTGCCACATCACATGCATTAAAATAAAACCAATGCATGTATTATGGTACTGTTAAGATGCCATTTATCTTAAAGTAAAAGATGGAAATGTCAGGTCTGTTAGAGAGCTCATTAGAATACACCTGGATATGGCATTCTGCATAATATGCAGCTTCCTGGCACCTTTTCAAGCAGTCCCATGTATAGTGAATCACACTAGTCTAATCTTGATGTAATTAAACACCAGAAATACACATTTGTTCTTTTTCTGAATATTTTTCTGCCCCCTGTTACAAATATTTTTTTCTTAAAAAATTAAACACCTGGTAAGTACATTATTTCCTCACAGAAACCATTTTTAAACAGTTAGCCAATAAGTCAACAGCTTCAATACCGCAATTTGTATTTACAACCCAAACAGAAACTAATGACAAGAAAATTAATTTTACATATAGAATAAACATTTAAATATTTTCATCAGTTGATTAGTATGTCCAAAATCCACTAAATGCTGTTTTCTACATACAGAACCAGTCCCTAATTAAGAAAAAACATACCCGATAAAATAAGCAGCTCGATAATTTCTGCATCTCCCAGATAGGCAGCAGCATGTAAAGGTGTCCGCTTTTCATTATCCTGTACCAAACATGAAAAACTGTTATTAATAGGACAATGCTGATATATAATTTTCTACAAATAAAATTAGGTAGAACTTTGACATTTTATAGGTTTTGAAAAATATTTAAAACCATTTTAGCAGTTGAACAATTATATACTATAGAGCTCATATCACAACACATTTGTCATATAAAATAGCTTTTCGTAAACTGATGTAGGAGACGACAATTCCTCCTTACCTAAATATAATAGGGAACATATTTGTGTCCATTGGATACAACCATTTTTCTTTCCTGTAAACCTTCCCGAGACCCCATTTTGAGTAGTACTGATATAAAGTTTCTCATCTTCCTCTTTATAATGTAGTGCAATGGCTCAAAAATGAAGCAGGGTCAGTTTTATTTTATTTTATTTACTTCCTGTTTATGGTTATTACGGAACAGCAATTTTTAACCATTAAAAGCATTGAATGAAGTTAATAGTTACCACAACATAGTTATCCAAGATACTATAGGTGATATATTTTTTAAAAATTATATTATATAAAAATAGTGGTCTGTTTCATAACCTGAAAGAAGAAATGTTCTGAGACAAACTAAAATTTGTACCTTGCTTATTCTTGAAATGTATATAATATACTGTGATTTAATTAGTCCACTTTTCAAAGAAATGTGGAAGCAAAATGTATCAGCTTAATGATACAGACAGCCCCCAACTTACGAACAAGATAGACACTGTAGGTTTGTTCTTAAGTTGAAATTGTTTGTAATTTGGAACAGGTACATTTTAAAGTGTAGCACCAGCCTCCTTCCCTCCCCCTCTCTCTATGCTTTGGATTGCCATGGGAAGGGTTAGCAGTGCTGTTTGTTTTGCTGTCAGTGTCCCTGTTCAGAATATTTCATCTCACTGTCTGTCCCTGTGATAATTAGATTTTGAAAAAATTGTCTTGGTGTGGAAACATGGATTGAGGATAAAGCTTCAGTGGAGACACTTTTTCCCCACGGTAACTCTTTCAGGAGTGAGTTTCCCTTTTGAGGGGTAGATTTCTCTCACTTCCTGTTGTCTCATCCCATCAGATGTTTGTAACTTAGGGACTGCCTGTTCTCACGAATAGACCTACGACAAGATACAGAACGTGCAACCATGTGTTTTTTGCTCATAAGAAAAATGGGAGGAGAAATAAAGAGAGAACTGAACATTTTTGTTTATGTTTTAGTAGACTGCTATGTAGTTTTTGAAAAAATGTTGGGGATTTGCCCCTCAGCTTGCTCAGATGTGAACGGGGTTCTGCAGAGACTACCACAGTTGGAGGAAGGGAAGAAGTAGAGTTTCAATTTTGGCCAATTCTCCCCACCCCTCTCAGCTCACCATAATATCAGCTCACACAATTCTAGAGGGAGTAATAATACCCTTAATAACATTGCTGCCTACTCTGGAACATTCTGAACATTCTTGTAGCACAGGAGCAAAATCCACTTGTGTGAGGCACAGAGACCATGCAGAGAAACCAAGAATTATAATGCAGGTTTCTATTAGTTAAGGAAGACATGTACCAGTGCACATACATACACACATCTCACACACACCTCCCAGCATCTTTTCCTCGCATTCAAATTTCTATCCCCATGTTTTAAAAGATAGTATTTAATATGAACTTCCTTTTCCTATCATGCTGTTTAAATGGGACGGGAATACACAGTGACTTTTGAGTCATATTTCATTAACTAAATTGAACTACTTTCCCTGCAAAATTACAGTATGCTAGAACACGAATAAGATCATGTTCATACCTCATTAAAGGCAAAGTCATTTGCCAGTTCATTTTTTTTTAAAAAAATATATGTTTGTTTATTCAGGCGTGCAGTATCTGTGGTGTTTTTATTAGAATCCCAAGATCCACAAAGTTGGAACTTAGTATAAAAATTATATTTGAAGGAAAATAATTCTGAAACCAGGAGTTTGATTATCAGAAAGGAATGAATTCATAATCCTTGTTATACAAAACCCAGATCCCTATCAGCCCAAACTGTTTTAATTTCAACATTAGAAGCAAAATTGAAGTAATGAAGTATTTTGCTACTGGAATGCTGAAATTACAGTGATGTCAACCAACTTTGATTGATCTCCTGCTTACCTCTAGGATTCATTTTAGTACCATGCACGTATGTGTAAATGCAGATGTAGATTAATATTTGCATATATTATAAACAAATGCACAATACAACGCATATCTCAAACTAAAGATTGTTCACTGTCATTAATTTATTGTTAAGCCACATTTTAGGTTACATTGTACTTTAATATTTTAATTTTTACACATTAGTGCCCAGAGAAAATCAGGCAGTTTAACAATACAAAAACAAACAAACAAGTGGAGAATGGAGAAGATAGCTCATGTCTCAGCGATAAAATCAACACCATAATTTCCTGTTTCCTCTAAAAGAGAGAAGATTCTTGTTACTCCCAAATGCTGAAAGTATTTTTTTTCCAAACTGTTTCAAAGTGTTTTGAATAAAAAGTTGCAGAAAAGTAAACCTTTTATGAGACAGGTATTCCAAAATTATTTTCCATACAGCTATTTCCAGAACCTCCAGCAAAGGATCACCGCCTTGTCGGGGCGCTGGAGCTTGAGCACCTCAATGATGTCATGAGCGAAACCGTGAAGGGCCACTCAAGACGGGACGGTTGTGGCAGAGAGGTCAGACCAAGCGTGATCCCTGGGGAAGGCAATGGCAAACCACTCCAGTATCCTTGCCAAGAAAACTAAATGGACCAGTACAACCAGAGATATGTCGGTATGCCATTGGAAGATGGGACTCCCAGGTCGGAAGATGGCCAAAATGCTACTGGGGAGGAGCAGAGGATAAGTTCAACTAGCCCCATATGTGATGACGCAGCTAGCTCAAAGCCGAAAGGAAGGCTAGCGGCCGACGGTACTGGAGGTGAACGACGAATCCGATGCTCTAAAGATCAACACACCATAGGAACCTGGAATGTAAGATCTATGAGCCAGGGCAAATTGGATGTTGTTATTGGTGAGATGTCAAGACTAAAGATAGACATTCTGGGGGTCAGCGAACTGAAATGGACTGGAATGGGCCACTTCACATCAGAAGACCACCAGATCTACTACTGCGGACAAGAGGAACATCGAAGAAATGGAGTAGCCTTCATAATTAATAAGAAATTCGCTAAAGCGGTGCTTGGATACAACCCAAAAAATGACAGAATGATCTCAATTCGAGTGCAAGGAAAGCCTTTCAACATCACAGTGATCCAAATATACGCCCCAACCACAGCTGCTGAAGAAGCAGAAGTAGATCAGTTCTATGAGGATCTGCAGGACCTACTGGATAATACACCAAAAAGAGACATTATTTTCATTACAGGAGACTGGAATGCCAAGGTGGGAGGTCAAAAGTCAAATGGGATCACAGGCAAACATGGTCTGGGACAATAAAATGTAGCAGGACATAGGCTGATAGAATTTTGCCAGGAAAACTCACTGTGTATAACGAACACTCTCTTCCAACAACCTAAAAGACGGCTCTATACATGGACTTCACCAGATGATCAACACCGAAATCAGATTGACTACATCCTTTGCAGCCAAAGGTGGCGGACATCCATCCAGTCGGTGAAAACAAGACCTGGGGCTGACTGTAGCTCAGATCACGAACTTCTTATTGCCAATTTAGAATAAAACTAAAGAGATCAGGGAAAATACACAGACCAGTTAGATATGATCTCACTAACATTCCTAGCGAATATACAGTTGAAGTGAAGAACAGATTTGAAGGACTAGATTTAGTAAACAGAGTCCCAGAAGAACTATGGACAGAAGTCCGAGACATTGTTCAGGAGGCGGCAACAATGTACGTCCCAAAGAAAAAGAAAACCAAGAAGGCAAAATGGTTGTCTGCTGAGACACTGGAAGTAGCCCAAGAAAGGAGGAAAGCAAAAGGAAACAGGGATAAGGGGAGATATGCCCAGTTAAATGCGCAATTCCAGAGGTTAGCCAGAAGAGATAAGGAACTATTTTTAAATAAGCAATGCATGGAAGTGGAAGAAGACAACAGAATAGGAAGGACAAGAGACCTCTTCCAGAAAATTAGAAACATTGGAGGTAAATTTCAGGCAAAAATTGGTATGATAAGAAACAAAGATGGCAGGGACCTAACAGAAGCTGAAGAGATCAAGAGAAGGTGGCGAGACTATACAGAAAATCTGTATAGGAAGGATAATAATATTGAGGATAGTTTTGACGGTGTGGTGAATGAATTAGAACCAGACATCCTGAGGAGTGAGGTTGAATGGGCCTTAAGAAGCATTGCTAACAACAAGGCAGCAGGAGATGACTGGTCAAGTGATGCATGCCATTTGCCAGCAAATATGGAAAACACAAGAATGGCCATCAGACTGGAAACAATCAACTTATATCCCCATACCAAAAAAGGGAAATGCGAAAGACTGCTCAAACTTCCGTACAGTGGCCCTTATTTCTCATGCCAGTAAGGTAATGCTCAAGATCCTGCAAGGAAGACTCCAGCAATACATGGAGAGAGTTGCCAGATGTTCAAGCTGGGTTTAGAAAAGGCAGAGGAACGAGAGACCAGATTGCCAATATCCGCTGGATAATGGAAAGGCAGGGAGTTTCAGAAAAACATCTACTTCTGCTTCATTGACTATTCTAAAGCCTTTGACTGTGTGGATCATAATAAATTGTGGCAAGTTCTTGGTGGGATGGGCATACCAAGCCACCTTGTCTCTCTCCTGAGGAATCTGTACAAGGACCAAGTAGCAACAGTCAGAACTGACCACGGAACAACAGACTGGTTCAAGATTGGGAAAGGCGTACGGCAAGGCTGCATACTCTCACCCAACCTTTTTAACTTGTATGCAGAACACATCATGCGATGTGCGGGGTTTGATGAATGCAAAGCTGGGGTGAAAATGGCTGGAAGAAACATTAACAGCCTCAGATATGCAGATGACACCACTCTGATGGCCGAAAGCGA